ATCCTTGCGTGCTCGGTAGAACTTTAAGGCGAAGAATCCAGTGATAAACAATCCCGCCATCAGGATCATCCCCCCAATGAAGGAGGCTCCATCAAAGTGCTGACCATGCTCTGTGGTTCCTGTGTGCGGCGCCAGAGTCGTGGGGGGTGGGGCTTTTGTAGTTGTTGTATTTGCAGTTGTTGCTAAAAATAGAATAATTATTCAATGACATTTCTATGCAACACTTATAAAGTCTCAAGTTTTTCGTGTGGGTGCCTTTCTATTTTAAGTCTCTTTCACTGAAAGCACTGATCTCCTAATGTACAGATTTTATATAGTAGTACTGACTACAGTAAAACTCTGTTATAACCAAGTCACTGGGACCTATAAATTACTTTGCTATAACCGTAATTCATTATAAACGTATAAGAATGTCATTAAATTTATATAGCTGGAGATCCAAGATGACTTCGCTATATCCGTAAATTTGCAATATCCGTGTTCGTATTAAACGAGTTTTGCTGTATCTTTATGAATAAATCAGGTATAGACATTCTTATACACTGTGAGGAGAAAATGTCATGACCATCTATGAGATTGATCAAACTGATATCTCATACTAGCAAACTCAATAAAGGATGAGATCTTTTGAAACAGAATGATAGTGGAAAGTTGTATGTCATAATCCAATGAAAGGGAGACATTTTGTCCAAGTCCAGGGAAAAATAAAAGCTACAATAAGTGTTCATCTAGGTACTTACTGGTTGGGTTTGGTGTTGAAGCTGAAAAAAGAATAAATCAGTAACATTATCTCCGTCTGATTCTTAGTTATATCAACAATTGAAACTGATTCATCAGCTATTAGTTTTGATTCTGAATGTGATTTGTGAAACAAAATTGAGAATATGAGATAAAATGATCTAAATTTAAAGTCGGGTACATCAACGGAAAACATAAGATCTGAAGAGCTAATTTCCGACTACAGAGCTATTTTCCGGCTAGAGTATAATATGAAAAATGTGAAAAGTTTACAGTAGGACACATTTATACAGATGGATTGGTGATGTACATTCAGGTAGTCAGGAAAGCTTAATATATCAGCTTTCAGCTCAGGTAAGCTATAAAATATGCTGAAGACATGTATGCTGAATGCCATTGTTTATATGACAGTTATATATACTACAATAGATACATACAAGTCGGTGCTGGTGTGGTACCTGAAAAATAAAACAATAATTTAATTGTCATATAAATTTTAACATTTGATATTTTTTTTTATCAAATGAATGAAAGAACATAAAGTAGTATTAATACACTTGAACCCATCACTTAGACAGTACATTGTAATTATACAATGTAATGAAATCTTTTGTTCCATTTTATTGCATAACTTCAATTACTTAAATGCCTTTTTTTACATGTAATTATTTTTTTTTCTTTAAATACTTACTACTCTCACTGCTGTTACCTGGAAACAAAAAAAGGAACAAGTCAATAAAGCCAATGATAAGCTACTGTAAACCAACTTTTATTCGTGAACAAGAAATATTCTTGAGTTGCGCAAATTACTTAAGTCGTGAATATTTATTGCTGCAAATTCATTAAATTTGCTTTATTTTTGTAGAAAACGTTTCTTTATTCATGAAAATTAATCACAGCGGATTGAATTCAAACTGACAAATTACGAATAAATAATAGTTGGTTAACAGTACCAGTCACAATGTCACTGAACCTTTCATGTATTTGAAGATCATACATTTGGGACAAAATGAACACAAAGTAGCACACATTCTTTATCACATGATCATGACCAATTCTTCAATACTTACAAATCACTTTAGCTGGTTGACACTTGCTTGCCATACTGGTAAAATTAAGACACACTGGAAAACAAGAAAGAACAAGATTAATGGTACTTAAAGGGAAATTTGATAAGCACAAAATAATGAAACATCAACCTTATTGTTTGTAAGGGTTTTATATTTTGTTGATTATCTGATATTGAAAAGTTGTCAAACATCATAGTTACAGTTATGTAAGAAGTAGTACTTCTTGTTTCAACAGACTAAGGCCAAGTTTTAAAAAATTCTTTGTTTGCACATGTCATCCTAATACGTATGAGGGTTTTCTTTCATTTGGGGGGAGGGGGAGTTTTATGCTTTTTGTTAAATATCTGTATCAAATTATCTGGTTTTTATACACTTTCTAAGCATAAAAAGCCCCTGACTGTTAATTTATACCATACCACTTATTAATAAAAACAAAAATAAATCATAAAATTTTAATTTCCAGAATTCTTGAATTTAATTAAAAAATAATAATCTTTCATATGGCTAGAAAACTGTTTTGCTCAATATATTTTATCAAAAGGTAGGATCCGTAGGCAACTGCAAACAAACAAATTATTTTAGCCCATATCTTGATTTCTACAGTTCCAGTCCTATGATGTGTACTTACATGTAGTTCCTTTGGAGTTCTGTGTGGTACAGTTGACATACAGACATTTTAGTTTCTGTCCCTCTGTAATAGTACTTACATGTAGTTCCTTTGGGGTTCTGTGTGTTGGTACAGTTGACATACAGACATTTAGTTTCTGTCATGGGATGTGTACTTACGTGTAGTTCCTTTGGGTTCCTGTGTGTTGGTACAGTTGACATACAGACATTTTAGTTTCTGTCCCTCTCTTGTAGTATTTACGTGTAGTTACTTTGGGGTTCTGTGTGGTACAGTTGACATACAGACATTTTAGTTTCTGTCCCTGTTATAGTACTTACGGGTAGTTCCTTTTGGGTTCTGTTTTGTACAGTTGACATACAGACATTTTAGTTTCGGTCTCTCTGTTATAGTACTTACGTGTAGTTACTTTGGGGTTCTGTGTGGTACAGTTGACATACAGACATTTTAGTTTCTGTCCCTGTTATAGTACTTACGGGTAGTTCCTTTTGGGTTCTGTTTTGTACAGTTGACATACAGACATTTTAGTTTCGGTCTCTCTGTTATAGTACTTACGTGTAGTTACTTTGGAGTCCTGTTTTGTGGTACAGTTGACATACAGACATTTTAGTTTCAGACCATCTGGTCCACAGCAGGCCATCTGGTTTGTAAAGGCCTCACATGTTCCTAAAATACAAACAAAAATCTCTCACAATCATGTCCATGTAGAATCAAAACAGAGTTACATTTATTTCTATGATGATCATGATGATACTTTACAAGAAATAAGATAACTCCCCAAGTTACAAGAAAAACCATGAAATTCAAACCTGTCATTCAGAGTTTAAACTTTCCTTTACAAAGTTAGTTACTTGCAATATAGGTCCACATTTGGTCAATCATGTGCTAAATTTAAGTGTCCTGACTAACATGTACTGATTTAAAAAACAAAATAAACTGTAACTTTTTGTTAACAGAAAAATATAAGGAATTTGGTGAAACATTTTGGATGTATACATTGTCGTCTGTTGTCAGTACACTGTTGTCTGTTGTCAGATGGATACATTGTTGTCTGTTGTCAGATAGATACACTGTTGTCTGTTGTCAGATGGATACACTGTTGTCTGTTGTCAGATGGATACACTGTTGTCTGTTGTCAGATAGATACATTGTTGTCTGTTCTCAGATGGATACATTGTTGTCTGTTGTCAGATGGATACATTGTTGTCTGTTGTCAGATAGATACACTGTTGTCTGTAGTTAGATTGATACACTGTTGTCTGTTGTCAGATGGATACACTGTTGTCTGTTGTCACATGGATACACTGTTGTCTGTTGTAACATGGATACACTGTTGTCTGTTGTCAGACTGATACATTGTTGTCTGTAGGTAGATTGATACACTGTTGTCTGTTGTCAGATGGATACACTGTTGTCTGTTGTCAGATGGATACAATGTTGTCTGTTGTCAGATAGCTACACTGTTGTCTGTTGTCAGATGGATACATTGTTGTCTGTTGTCAGATACATTCTTGTCTGTTGTCAGACTGATACATTGTTGTCTGTTGTCAGACTGATACATTGTTGTCTGTTGTCAGATTGATAGACTGTTGTCTGTTGTCAGATGGACCCATTGTTGTCTGTTGTCAGATGGATACACTGTTGTCTGCTATCAGATGGTTACACTGTTGTCTGTTGTCAGATGGATACATTGTTGTCTGTTGTCAGATAGATACACTGTTGTCTGTTGTCAGATGGATACATTGTTGTCTGCTGTCAGATGGTTACATTGTTGTCTGTTGTCAGATGGATACATTGTTGTCTGCTGTCAGATGGTTACATTGTTGTCTGTTGTCAGATGGATACATTGTTGTCTGCTGTCAGATGGTTACACTGTTGTCTGTTGTCAGATGGATACATTGTTGTCTGCTGTCAGATGGTTACACTGTTGTCTGTTGTCAGATGGATACATTGTTGTCTGTTGTCAGATAGATACACTGTTGTCTGTTGTCAGATGGATACACTGTTGTCTGTTGTCAGATGGATACACTGTTGTCTGTAGTCAGATGGATACATTGTTGTCTGTTGTCAGACTGATACATTGTTGTCTGTTGTCAGATTGATAGACTGTTGTCTGTTGTCAGATGGACCCATTGTTGTCTGTTGTCAGATGGATACACTGTTGTCTGCTGTCAGATGGTTACACTGCTGTCTGTTGTCAGATGGATACATTGTTGTCTGTTGTCAGATAGATACACTGTTGTCTGTTGTCAGATGGATACACTGTTGTCTGTTGTCAGATGGATACACTGTTGTCTGTTGTCAGATAGATACATTGTTGTCTGTTCTCAGATGGATACATTGTTGTCTGTTGTCAGACGGATACACTGTTGTCTGTTGTCTAACCTGGCATGGGTGCTGGCGGTATTGTTGGCGCTGTGGACGCTGTTGTCGGCACTGGTGTTGTTGTTGTTGTATTAGGTTTAAAAGTACCTGAAATTAGTATAACATATACATATAAGGAAAACAAAAATTACGTACACGAGGTTAAGACCAATAACAAGACTGAAATATGCATGAAATATATTTAAGGGGGCATTTACAACTTGTTTGAGGTACTTAAAGGTTTTTTAAGGTATATACAGGTAATATTAGGTGCTTACAAGTATCATGAAGTACCTACATGTCATATATACAAGGTTTTATAAATTATAAACAGGTATTATATGGTACATGTACTAACAAGTTTTATAAGGTACTTACAAGTGTTAAAAGGTAGGTACAGGTATATTATTAGGTACTTACAGGTAACATTTTCCTCTATTTTATTCACATCCACTTTACATTCGTCAGCAGCCGCCTTTTTATCAGCTGTGTCACTCAAGTTATGGCAGCCTATATGTAGACAAAATAACATCAGCTGGAAACATTAGGTATACACTGCCCTCAGTTTATCAGGGACAGTTAATAGAAATTCATGTCTACAGCCAATGTATAGGATAGTACTTGTAGCTTCAAGCAAAAGGTTTTTCTATAATTTCAACTAATTATCAAAGTTGCGGCTCATACTGCTTAATTGGCAATTCAACTCAGAGAGTTTAATTTAAATTAAAGTTAGACCTAGATAAATAAATTGTGTGTTTCACGTTCCTCGACCGACCTAAAAATACATTAGCCGGCCCTAAAAATGTTATTCATCAAAATTTTTCTGAAAGTAAACAAATACAGATTTGCTTTTAGAAATCTTAATTTCAATCACTTCTTTGTATGTTGGAATAGGAAACACAATATTTATTTATCTTGGCCTTACTGTGAATCAAATTTCAACCTCGCTCACACTGAGATTTTAATGCGAATTAGTTTAATTTGAATTAATGTACATGTACTTCACTTCATATTAAATTACTTCACTTTAGCACCAGATGAATGCTAAGACAAGCTAATTATGTTCCCCAAACGGAGTTTGGGAACATATTGTTTTTACTCGGTTTCTTATTATTATTATTATTATTATTAAGGTCTTCCGACTTCCTTCGGAAGACCTTATTGTTTTCCTTCTGTTTTCTATTATTATTATTATTATTATTATTATTATTCCACTTTTCATAGTACAGGTCATATCTCCGCTGTGCGTGGTTCAATTTGAACGATTCTTTTCAGGGATGGTGCATCATGTTAATATCTCCAGGGGTGTCCCTCACTTTTTCGAAATTTACTTCCGTTCGCGTTTTTTGGGGAAATTTGTATTTTTTAAATGGAATTTTGTCGCAAAAAATTCTCGAGAACAGTAACAGATATAAAACTGAAACTTACGGACATGATAGAAAATCGAATGTAGATGTGTTGATCAACCTTCATTTTTCGTCGTTCTGACTTCCGGTCGCAAACGGAAGTGAATTCTAAAAGTCTAATTTTTCAACTTTTTTGTTTTTCACTATTTTTCTTTGGAAATCACAGGGTTGATAGAGTATCTTTTAAGAACTCTAAATATGTTTTCAACATTTTCATGCGTGTATTTGTTGCAAAGATATGACCAATTCAAACTTTGTCTCACTGTCGGGGGTTCGAATCCCGCTTGGGGCGTTGCAAAATTTTTTTCTTTGTTTCTGTCTTTTTTCAGTTGCATATGACTTTTCTTTCTTTTTTATAATGTATGGTAGATTTTGTCGATTTTTAAAAGCTATATTTTGAGATATTTTGTGGAATAACTGTAATAATCACGATCTATGTTGAGAGACTGCTGTCAATGAAAGTAAACGATAAAAATACATTCTGAAATCTCTTTCATGGCCTGACGGAGCCCAGATTTCTAACGAAAAGTCGGGCGGAAGACCTGCTTGTTGCCCTAGCAACAAGAACGCATCTAGTTATTATTATTAAGGTCTTCCGTCTGCAACGGAAGACCTTATTGTTTTCGTTAAGTTTCTTTTTCCCTATTATTATTATTTTTCTTACCGATTTTGTGCACGCGATTTCTCGGAAACGGCTGGCTCGATTTTCACCAAACTTTCAGATCTGATAGATATTCATCTGAACCTTGTTGGAAATTTTTGTCGTTGATGACGTCACTTCCGGTCGTGAGATATGGACGACTTTCTGATTTTTAGAGGGTCGGCTTGTCCTGAGATCTCCTCCTAAACGACTGAAGATATCGACTTGAGATTTTCAGTGAAGGTAGAGGAAGGATAGTAGATGTGACATTTTGCATATAGAGCTTTCCAGGTAAAAAGGCATCGACGCTCGCCTGGGCTCGAAAAATAGGTTCATACGCATCACGCAAAAATTGATACGTTTTCTTTTACATCTTTTTACTGGTTAATATTTTGTAAAGACAAATATAATAAAAAATGTGCAATATAGTAAGACCTTTCATTTAATATGAAGAAAATGGGGTTAGCCCTTCAAATTAGGGGCATTGAGGGGCAAAAAGTCTCTCGTCTTTAACTCTTTAATGATCAATATTTTGTAATATATTACTGAAGCAAAGATATTCAACTTTACTATTTGCAACAATATATACTAAAAAATTGATCATATATTATGTAATAAAGGGACATAGGGGGCTAGAATGCTAAATCTTTGACGCTTTATATCTCGAAAAGCGTGAATATTTTGATAAGCAATATTGAACAAAAGATGGTCAAAATAATGCTCCCAACAATATGCATACTTTTAATTTGTTCATTTTTTCCGTTGACACTTCCGTTGTAAACCGGAAGTACATGAAATTTAAATACATGTACATGTATAGCGATTTTTTTTATTTTCTAATGAATGTAATTGTTCATTATAGAGATTTAGAGAATGCGTAGCATCTTAATATTTCCACCAGAAGTACGGTTTGTTCAAACCGGAAGTTGTCTAAAAATGAGTATTTTCCATCGAAACTTTCAGGGATGATTACTGCATGCTTGATATAGAGTTGAAAGTAGTTTTGAGCACATACGGTCGTACCGGAAGTGAAGAAGTAGAACCGGAAGTTGATTGGAATTGATACATCCTACATTGTTTTGTGTTTCTTAACATATTTTGAAGAATTCTTGTGCCTTTTTGACATTTTTTATCCTATCAGTGGAATTATCCCAACACAGGTCTTATTCCATCAGATATCGGACGGAAAACCTACTCGTTGCTTGCAACGAGATCGCATCTAGTTATTCTTTTTTTTCTTCTTTGTTCTCCGGTACTTTTTTGTCCGCGAGTGTTCTCAGAAACTGTTCACCCAACTGAGCTAAAACCTTTTAAGGGTTAATAGGTGTGTAGTGTAGGTGTGCGGAACGAAGGTCATTTTGCGCGCATACTCATGCACGTGAGTGCGCGTGATATGAGTGAAATGACTGATATACTTAATATAGCTATAACTTTTACATTTTTTAATGAAATGATTTGAAACTCATTATATAAGGATATATTAGTAGTGTTGATAATGTGACACTGTCAAATAAGCACGAACTCATGCGCATGCACGTGCGCTTTGCTCTGATTGGCTGAGACAAAAATCTCAATATCTTTTCTGTTTTTTGAAGAAATGCTATGAAATCAGAAACATAGACATACTTTAGAATGTTCTACAATATGATATATAACAATTGTCATGAAAACACGCGCATGCACGTGCGCTGCAATCTGCTTGGCTTAAACTTTAAATGGCTATATCTCCCTTGTTTTTCAACCAAACAGGATGGGTTTTAGAATATAGACAGACATAATAGATACCCACAAAGAGATATGGTCATAATGCATATGCATATACGTGCGTGTACGTGCGCTTCGCTCTGATTGGCTGAAACATAAATCTCAATATCTTTCTTATTTTTTGAGGAAATGCTTTGAAATTTATTTTAAACTTAGTCATGCATTAAGATATCCTACAATATGATATATAGTATTTTCATGAAATCACGCGCATGCACGTGCGCTGCAATCTGACTGGCTTAAACTTTAAATGGTTATAACTCTCTTGGTTTTCAACCAAACAGGATGGGATTTAGAATATAGATAGACATGATGGACTCCTACAAGGAGGTATGGTCATCACGCACATGCTTGCACGTGCATGCACGTGAAATGAGTAAAATTAACAAGAGGCCCACGGGCCTTATAGGTCACCTGAGTATTGTGTAACAACTTTCAAACAATTAAATTTGGTTCGTGTTTAAACCGGAGGCCATGAAATTCACAATTTACAACTTTGAAAGAGGCACCATTGCTTATCATAATGTTCCCCAAACGAAGTTGGGGAACATATTGTTTTTACTCTGTTTCTTATTAAGGTCTTCCGTCTTAACGGAAGACATTATAGCGATTCTATTGTTTCTTATTATTATTATTATCATTATTATTTTTCTGACGCAATTTCTCAAAGACTACTGGATGGAATTACATGAAATTTTCAGGACAGATGTGTTGTTAAATGGATTTGATACATCTGAGAGATTTTTTGGAAAATGGCTTCCGGTGCCAAGTTACAGACCTTTTTCTGATTTTTAAAATGACATTTTGTCCACAGATTTTCTCAAAAACGGTAAAAGATATCAAGCTGAAACTTTCAGAGATTATAGATGATGATAAATGCTATCCAGGACGCCACTTGTCGTTCGTTGTCATTACTTCCCGTCGCTACCGGAAGCCAATTTAAAAAGTCCAAATTTTCAACTTTTTTTGTTTTTCAATATTTTTCATTTATTTTTGGTACGTTAATAGAAACCTTTTTTATAATGCTAACTATAAAATTTGTTTGAATATTGATAAAGCTTAACTGTAGATATTAGTATTTTAAAATCTGAAGCGGATCCAAGATGGCCGCTCTTTCTGTCAACTCCGACATTTCGCAATAGGGGTTTACTGAGGCAGCCGAGCGTTTGCTTGAATGAAAGTAACATAAGGACAAATGAAATGTAAAGGAATACTTGGATTGTCACGTCGTAGTTACGTTGCAATTCTGTGTTAAACGAAGTTCTTCCTAAACGTATTCTATAATTGGTTTTGGCTGGTTCTCAAAGTAGAAAAAGAATAGACTAAATGTGCAAATGAAATTCGATACCTAATATCTTCTAATTTGCACCACGGAAAAACAGATTTTTAATAATTGTTATAAGTAAGTTTTTCAAGATAGAATGTCAATGAATACAGTAAGTATAAAACTTACCCACTTTTTTCCCATGCACATTTGTGCCATATTAAACTAACAGAAAAGACAAAATTAGATAATCATTTCTTTTTTAAAGATTGCTTCATGGAGTTTATATTAAGATTATTCTCTCAAAGATCTTATTCAAGTTTTTCAGCACAAATGGTATCCAATTCCTGATCGTTGTAAGGGGAGCCATGTTTTTCGGCGATACATTTCAACCTCATTATGAATGTTTAACTAAATCGGGATAGTTTACTTTGGCGAAAAACAGGAAATTTGAAAAAAAAAAGATAAAATTCATAGCCGTTTCACTGCTTTAGTGTTACTAGCTTACATACTATGTGGCATTGTAAAATGTGTTAAATATGCTTTCTAATCGTCGAAGTTTAGGCTATATGAATGTTTTTTTTTTATTTCGCTGAAGCTATCATAGCTATTAAATAGAACATTCCAAAAAAGGCGCAAAGTTTAACTCGTGGCGTTTGGCGCGAAATTATGAATAATGACTAGCCTTCCATAATTCTAAGACAAAAGCACTTTATACAGAGGTATATACGAAAAGATTAAGAGCAGAGGTCCAAATAGCGTAATATTTAGCGAATTGGATTTTCATGCTCGCGACCTGAATTAATCCCCCTTGTGTGCAATTTTTTTTTCACTTTTACAGCTCGAATTTTCGTTTTTTTTCCGGAATCGGACGGAAGACCTCTTGTTGCTCGCAACGAGATCGTATCTAGTTATTATTATTATTATTATTATTATTATTATTCCTGGGAAAATTTTGTCTTTGAGTGATCTTGTAAACTACACATCCGACTACATCTTCGCTAGCCAAGGGTTTCCGATCCGATACCTACTCTACAACCCTTGGCAGATTTAGGCCTATCAAACGGGAACTTTGATTGCGCCGCCTATCGTTGAATTGAGTTAAGTCCCTTGAAGCTCTTTAACATTTGTCCAGTGAAAATAGCTGTAACATACGTAAATCAATATGACGTTCGAAACAATATGGCGACCTCCATGCAGCCTGATGTAGAATATATCCTAACAACCTCATACAGCTGTGGGAAGTGGGCACACCTCAAAAGTGGTAGAAAATATCGTTCTTCGTGGATTTTTTGTGAAGAGTTTGACTTTACTTTCTACATGTTGCCGTATCAATTATTATCAATGAGCCGTAACATTTGATTGGCTTAAATTGATGCACCTAAAATGCGGAACATGCACTTATGTGGTCCTTTCAATAATTCTTGAAAACATATATAATCAAAAGAAAAAAATTTCAAATTAATTACTCCCTTGTTTTTTTAGCATAGATCACGTCCTAACTTTCATCCCGTGTAAATATTACTCTTCTTTTGCATAAAACAGTAACAGACTTTAATTCAGCCGAAAATCGTCGATTAGTAAAAACCTTGCGTAGACTTGGACTTCGCAGCCAATCAAATTCGTTTGCGCGAGTTCTAAAATTTTCAGCCAAATCTGCCAAGGGTTGTAGAGTAGGTGTCGGATCGGAAACCCTTGGCTAGCGAAGATGATCCGACTAAGGTAAAACCTTTTTAGGGTCACTAGGGATGTTATGTAGATTTGCTGAACGAAGGTCATTTTGACGCAAGAGCAAGCACGTGCAACACGTTAAATGGCCAATATAAGGTATATTGACTTAACTTTTCTATTTTTTGATGAAATGCTTTGAAACTCAAAATGTAAGGATATATTAGTAGTATAGACAAGATGACATGGTCTAAATAGCAAGATCTCACGCGCATGCACGTGCGCTTTGCTCTGATTGGCTGAAACTAAAGTCTCAATATCTTTCTTGTTTTTTGACGAAATCCTTTGAAATTTTCAACATAGCCATGCATTACGATATCCTACAACATGATATATAGCAATTATCATGAAAACACGTGTATGCACGTGCGCTGCAATCTGATTGGCTGAAACTTTAAATAGCTATAACTCCCTTGGTTTTCAACCAAACAGGACGGGATTTGGAACATAGATATATAAAATGGACTTCTACAAGAAGGTATGGTCACCATGCACATGCACACACGTGCGTGTACGTGAGCTGCAATTTGATTGGCTGAAACTTTAAACAGTTTTAACTCCCTTGGTTTTCAACTAAACGGGATGGGATTTAAAACATAGATAGATTTAATGAACTTCTACAAGAAGGTATGGTCATCATGCTCATGCATGCACATGAAATGGGTAAAATCAAAAATACACTTGAATGAGCGAATTTTTTTATACTTTTGGATTAAATACTTTAATATTTAGTATATTAAAATATATAGATTGGGTAGACAAGATGATATGGTCATTACGTACATGCATTCACATGCGCATACATGCAATGCTAAAATTTGAATGAGCATGGTACATTTCTGGGTAAACGGTGTTAAAGTCTCAAATGCATAGAGTCTGTGTTATTTAATGAAGCTTACAGGGAATATGGCACCAAAAGGGAGTTGGGGAGCGTTTGGGGAACATCTGTAACGGTCCCCGTTACAATTAGCACTAGTTATAAACTTAGCATGCTTACTCTATTTACTTAATACCCAGAGGTAGATCAGAGTAACAAAGAGTAAATGCACTTCCACTTCATAACCAGTTGGGCACCTCACGCCAAAGGAACCACTGACCCAGGGCCATATATTTCAAAATTTTGCAAATTTTATCATAAAATGGTTCATTAATACCAAAGAGCAGATTTCAAAGCATTAATTTATTTTCAGGCTATGTAACCACCCCCCCCCTTTTTACCCTGGGGGCATTAAAAACCACTTTGCTAGATGCACCTTTCTTCATCATAAATATATATATACTTGGATCATTGGCTTAAAACCCAGAGGCAAAGAAAAATATTTACAAAGAATAAATGTCTTTTTACTATATAATCAATACAGCCCCGACTTAACACCAGAACCCCTGACCCTGGGGCCATAAAATTCACAATTTTGGAAGAGACACTCTTGCTCATCATAACTATGTGCTTATTTAGTGTATTTAATACCCAGGAGCAGAGAAAAAGATTTTCAAAGAAATAATGCATTTTCACTATGTTATCTATAGAGCCCCGCCCTAACACCAGAACCCCTGACCCTGGGGCCCACAAAATCCACAAATCTGGAAGAGGCACTCTTGCTCATCATAACTATGTGCTTAGTTAGTGTATTTAATACCAAGGAGCAGAGAAGAAGATTTTCAAAGAAATAATGCATTTTCACTATACAATCTATAGAGCCCAGCCCTAACACCAGAACCCCTGACCCTGGGGCCATGAAATTCACAAATCTGGAAGAGGCACTCTTGCTCATCTTAACTATGTGCTTAGTTAGTGTATTTAATACCCAGGAGCAGAGAAGAAGATTTTCAAAGAAATAATGCATTTTCACTATGTTATCTATAGAGCCCCGCCCTAACACCAGAACCCCTGACCCTGGGGCCATAAAATACACAATTTTGGAAGAGGCACTCTTGCTCATCATAACTATGTGCTTAGTTAGTGTATTTAATACCCAGGAGCAGAGAAGAAGATTTTCAAAGAAATAATGCATTTTCACTATACAATCTATAGAGCCCAGCCCTAACACCAGAACCCCTGACCCTGGGGCCATTAAATTCACAAATCTGGAAGAAGCACTCTTGCTCATCATAGCTATGTGCTTAATTTGTTTATTAAATATCCAGGAGCAGAGAAGAAGATTTTCAAAGAAATAATGCATTTTCACTATATAATCTATAGAGCCCCGCCCTAACACCAGAACCCCTGACCCTGGGGCCATGAAATTCAAAAATCTGGAAGAGGCACTCTTGCTCATCATAACTATTTGCTTAGTTAGTGTATTTAATACCCAGGAGAAGAGAAGAAGATTTTCAAAGAAATAATGCATTTTCACTATATAATCTACAGAGCCCCGCCCTAGCACTAGAACCCCTGACCCTGGGGCCATGAATTTCACAATTTTGGTAGAGTACTCAATGCTCATTACATTCATGCCAATAGTTTGCCTGCTTAATGTCCAGGAGTAAAGAAGAAGATTTTTAAAGATTTCATTAATTTTAGTGGTTTTGGCCCCACCCCTCAGGCCCCAGGGGGGCGGGGACCATGAAATTCACAATTTTTGTTGCCCTCCACCCATAGATGCTGTATACCAAATTTGGTTGAAATTGGTTCAGTGGTTTCAGAGAAGAAGCTGAAAATGTTCAAATGTTAACACACGACACACGACGCACAACGAAAACGGATAGCAATAGGTCACCTGAGTTACTCAGGTGACCTAAAAATACGCTTGAATGAGTGTATTTTTAATACTTTTGGATTAAATGCTTTGACATTAAGCATATTAAAACACATAGATAGTGTAGAAAAGATGATTATGTCATTACGCACATGCATTCACATGAGCACGCGTGCAGTGCTAACATTTAAATATATTTTGTATTCTTCTGGGAAAACGTTGTTTAGGTCTAAATTGTATAAAGCATGTCTTATTTAATAGAGCTTACAGGGAATATGGCACCAAAAGGAGTTGGGGAGCGTTTGGGGAACATCTGTAACGGTCCCCATTACAATTAGCCCTAGTTCATATTAATGTTGACACGTGTGATGCCAGAATTCAGTCACAGGCTACATGTAGGTGGTTAAATTCAGATACATGTATCTGTGCTATTTTTAGTTGAAAAATAAAGGAAAATTATGTAAATCACTTAAATGTATACAGCCACAGTAACTTTGATTTTTATGTCAAATGGATCTTCACTTAAGCTGTCATTTTTTATTTACATTTGGTTTCACTTTAATTTATTTAATGCAAATCAAACTAATTACATCCTATCAGTTTGTAATTTTAAATATTAAAAAATTATAGAACAATGATGGTTTCAGTGCTATAAGCCCCAGCATTGCAATTTTCAGTTTTTCAAATTTTGCATTTATCAGGATCTAAACTTGTCCAATTTTGTATAGAGTCTAAATTAATTATAATTGTCATAATTGTAATCACTACAAAGATAGAAGAACTAAATTTTTCATTCAGAGGGAAATGTTCTTACCTGTGTGATTCACACTTGCTGTTGCGTTTAAACACACAACCCAGGAGCAACCAGTGTTAGTACAGCAAGTATCGTTACTTGTAAAGGTACTACAGTTTCCAACTGAAAAACAAAACAAAGATTTAATGCCAACCCTGTGTGTCCTAGACTAACTGAAAACAAGACAAGGATATAATGCTAACTTGTCACACACCTTAACCTCTGAGCCTATCTTTTAAAGGTCATACAAAACAGTTCATTACACTACGATTTTACTTATTAAACATATAGACTGGTATGAAAGAATGTTAAATTACGTTTGGTAAAAAAAATTTGCTTTTGTTTAACAGAAAAATGAAGGCCTAAACTTGTCCACTTGATAAATTTGTTACTCGCTTATCGTTCTTGATTTTGTGTTTGTATGACGTCACAAAGACCCACTGATGTTAACAACGCATTAGATCTAGTGTGATTTTACTGTATTTTATTGAGTTAATTTTAGTCTTTTTTGTGGAGATTATGTTTTTCGATGAGCTGCCTGATTCTAAGGAACAGTTCACTTTATTTGAACTTATCATTAATTTAGGCACAGCAACTGAAAACGAGAGTTTTTTATAGTAAGATGATCCTGATGAAAACCCCGTTGAAATCAAGATTTTTGACCCAAACCAAGATTACTTATCTTAAAATATTTACATTTGCAAATGTTTTCCCTTATATAACACTATTTGAACAAGGCGTTTTTACATCTCAATAAAACAAGTTGGTCATGTGACCATAAATTGATTGTTAAGTCATAATCCATCTACGTAGTTTGATAGTGACGTCATAAGCGATCGACGTTATAAACACATTCCATTGAGTTTTGAAAAAATAATGTTAGTTAAGCTAAGTACGTTACTATTTGTAATAAATAGTCTCAAATGTAAATATAAGTAATAAGGTATCATTTTTTGAGTTTTATTGGGCTGTAAAACGGGTTGGCACATGATCAAATCTTCCATAAAGCCCTTCGGGCTTTATGAGATTTGATCACGTGACCAACCCGATTTACATCCCAATAAAACTCAAAAAATGATACCTTATTTCTTAATTAATACCTTAGAAACAACAATCTTCTTGTTTGATTTTTATACGTATATGATACATGATGTAACCCCCCCCCTTTTTTCCCGAAATAAACACGGGGATATTGAACTTCATGATAAACGTGGATCTATAAATTATTTAAAAAGTCAGCGTATTTGAATGCAAGCTTCTGCATTCTGAAACACGAGAACTAATGAAAATGATATACAGAAATAGGTTTATGATGACATCATCGTAATTTTGCTGTCACAAGAAAAGTGATTTTAACAAGAGGCCCAAGGGCCTTGAATCGCTCTTCTGATAAATGATACAATCTATCCTAAGACCTAAGATACAACAACTGACAAAGTTTGATGATTCTTATCCAGTTAGGGCTGAAGATATTTAAATGTAACTATAAAATACTATAAGTAGGTCATGGTGAAATACCTGAAATACTTAAATATAGCCATAAAATGTCAAAAGTAGGTCAAAGTGACCTCCTTTTTGGTGGTTAATCTCCAAAAACCCAAGATGCATCAACTCACAAATTTTGATGATTGTAAGCCAATAAGTACCTAGATACTTAAATCTAGCCATAAAAAGTCGAAAGTAGGTCACAGTGACCTACTTTTTGGGTGACATTTTCTGAAGACAAAAGATGCATCAACTGAAAAAATTTGATGATCATAGGTCTAATTTTATTCAAAATATGCCTTTTAAACAATTTGAAAACAAATGCCAGCAAAGTTTAAAAAGTAGGTCACAGTGACCTACTTTTTAATAAATATGTTTTATGGCCCCAAGATGCATCAACTTACAAGATTTGGTGATTCTAAACCTCTCGGTGTCTGAAATAATAAGATTAAATGTTTTAGAAAAGATTAGCCATCAAATTCAAAAAGTAGGTCACGATGACCTACTTTTAAGTTGATGTTGTTTGTGTACCCAAGATGCACCAGCTGACAAAGTTTCATGATCATAGGCCTTAAAGTTTCCAAAATATGCCTCCAAATCAATTTGAAAACAAAAGCCCGCAAAATTTAAAAAGTAGGTCACCGTGACCTACTTTTGTATTAACATGATGTCAAGTCCTGAGATGCATCAACTTACAATATTTGATGATCCTAGTCTTTATAGCAAGCAAAATATCAACGTTTTTAATAAGTGTAAATTTTGGTCAACTTTGAAGTGACCTTGAGACCACGCCCTTTGCCCCAGGGTCATGCCTTGAACGATTTTTAATCTTCAACATATCCCAATCCTTGTATGTAAGTTTGGTGAAAATCTGCCTGGTGGTTCTGGAGAAGATTTTTTAGGAACCAGTACTTTTGGTTTTATTTTTGTGATTATCTCCCCTTGTTTTAGGGTCCCATCCCTAGTTTTAGTATAAATGGTAGCCCTTAGGCCAAGTATACCCTGTGACAAATTTGACAATAATTGGCCAAGGGGTTCTTGAGTTATGGCCAATATTCTAAAAAGTTAACATACACCGCATGACGCACACCGCACAAATGGCCATAGCATTAGCTCTTTGAGCCTTTGGCTCCGAAGAGCTAAAAACTTACCAGCATTACGGGTATGCACGTTAATATACATGTACTGTAATGTTACTAGTACGGTGCAGTTCTATACTTCTATAACAGTTTCATTGAGTAACTGCAGTTTGAAAATACTCATACAGTGCGTGCATAGGATGATCCGTTAAAAAGAAACCCATGCCCAATGCCCATTGTTTGTGAGACTGAACCTAACAATTTTAAAAATTAATATTTTTAGAGTTAAACATTCATTTTTAAAAGAAGAATATGATATTTGTTAAAATAAACTGATGCAAATTTAGAAAATTTGATCTGCCAATACACACAGAAACGTACGTGCGTAGGATTACATAGATAGATTTGCGTTTAAAGTCCGAGGCTGACTTTTTAAGATTATTACGATATTCAAAAAGGCATGGTGTTATGTGTAAATGTACCGACTTTGGTGAAAAAAAAGAGTCAATGAGATGGGGAAAGCCAAAGAAAGAGCAAGGAATAACTGAGAGAGGAGAAAACCAGGAAGCGATAGAATCATTTCATTTTCCACAAATAAATGAAATCATTTATCTGCATGCAGGTTTAGTTTCACTTTCACACACCTCTGTCAATCGATCGAATCCAGCTTTACTTATATGTGCGTGCTACCGATCGAGTAACTGTATGTATACCAATATATGCTCATAATCTGATCATGCTTAAAACAATTTAATTGGAAAATTAACAAATCATATTTTTGTGTTAGAAATTTATTCAACTGTAATTGCTATTTGACAGCGTCTATATTTATATATAACTCGAGTACAGAAGTTCTGCTCTCTTTGGACATCGTCTCTCTCTAATTATATTGATATGTAGAAGGATGAAATAAATAACAGTGGATAAAACATGCTAAAATCTTGCAAACATGCAACAGGATGTATAAAGACAAACACTATCTGGTTTGAAAATCATATATTTAAGCAAAGTTTTAGTCAAGACAATAATATTTCTTAAAAATTACGCTGCATAAGACATGATCGGCTATATAAATATTAGTACAGAATGTAACGAGTGGGTCTTACTGACGTCATAAGCAAAGGGAGATAAGCCACGCTAGTTGAAGCTCATCCTCGCAGTCAAGTATCTTTCATCAACTCTGCTGCCTCCAACTTGCGTAAAAAATCCAATGTTTTTTCAGGCTGATTAATGTTGCTCAGATATACTTATTTCCGTATACAACCCAAAATGCTCAGGACATTGTTTCGTATGACCTTTAATGAGCAGTTAATGAGGACTTATATTAATTAAACATTCATCACTGGATCTACAGGTTTGATTAGACTATAGGACATTTCCCTTACCTTTGACATTTGGACTTTCACTCGTTCCTGATGATTCCGTTGTTACAGTAGTGACCACCTGGGTTGTTGTATCATCTCCTATAAAAATCAAATAAAGACACCTCTGTTTTATCTAGTATTTATATCTCGAGTTTCTTACTTCATATATATAAATTACCAATCATAGCAAAATTTTGTCATGTTAATTTTCTAGATTGCTGCTTTTACAACATTTTCAACAGTGAAATACTGTTATTCATTGAACAAAAATGATATTCTGTCACAGTGTGAACAGATATTAAAATGATATCCTTTCAAAGTGTGACAAATATATATCAGATGTGCGGTAAAACTCTCAATTTACCTTCCCATAATTGAAGATTGTTGTAAAATATTCCTTGGACTGTTATAATATATAGTGAAAGTAAATAAACCATTCTGACAGAGAATAAGACTGCCAAAGTTACCCCAAATATGTTGCTGAAATCCATGTTTACAATGTTTTCAATCTCATATGATTATATCAACCACTCAACTGTGACATCATGTAGCCTATGACTGTATTACAAAAAATAAAAAAAAACAAATAGGCAAGGGGGAAAATCAAAGAAAATTCAATGTTTTGTAGTTAAAATGGAATTTATTTCACTCATGAAACAGGATTTTTTTTTTACTCCAGAAAATATTAAAAAAAAGATCCTGTCCCACTCATGAAATAAATTCCATATTTAACTACAAAACATCCTCTGTATCTTAAATCATACCATCTCAAAATGGCCACCCCAAAAATACTGTGTGATAAGACCAAAAACCAACAAATAACCTTTGCATTTGCAACAATGATTTTAAAAATACCCTACACTTCTTTCACATACATGGTTTTGTCAGGTTAACAATCATGTTTATTTAGTGTAAAACATCTTATTCTAGTGATTGTAAACTCTCAATATACTGATATAGGAAATAATCTAATATATTTTTTTAGGAAGTGTATTTATAAGCTTCCTGATTCTGATCCTAGTCTGTGTTCTGTATTACAGGACACCCCCACCCCCCTTTAACCCATGTGTAGTTAAAAGTATTTTGATTCTTACTAGAATAGACTTATTTATCATGTTAATCATCATTCCTAGCTGCAATAATGTAACCCTCTCTTTTTTTTTTGGGGGGGGGGGGGGGGGGAGAGAATATCAGATTAATAAGAAATCAGAGAGGCTACATAAATGCAGCAGCTGCTAATTTATAAATCATTCCATGCAAAACCAGAAGTCTCTGTTGAGACTGTAGCTCTACTGGTTTATACTTAAAACAAAGGAAGAGAAAAGTAGCACTTCGGACTTGAGACTTTAAAACAGCAATAAATAGAAAAATGATCCTTGCCACTCATCAAAATAAAAACCTATGCACAGAATTATGTATCTTAGTATAGTATACTTGTGTGCCAAGTTATATGGAAATCGGACCAAAACTGTAGGAGTAGCATTTTGATAGAATTTCTAAGAAAATTCTATTTTAGTAACCATGGCAACACCGTTCATTGAAATCAAAAACCGATGCACAAAATTATGTATCTTAGTGTATTCTACTTATGTGCCAAGATATATTGAAATCGGACCAAAACTGTAGGAGGAGTAGCATTTTGAAAGAATTTCTAAGAAAATTCTATTATAGTAACCATGGCAACACCGTTCATCAAAATCAAAAACCGATGCACAGAAATATGTATCTTAGTGTAGTCTACTTGTTTGCCAAGTTATACTGAAATCGGACCAAAACTGTAGGAGGAGTAGCATTTTGAAAGAATTTCTAAGAAAATTCTATTTTTAGTAACCATGGCAACACCGTTCATCGAAATCAAACACCGATGCACAGAATTACGTATCTTAGTGTAGTCTACTTGTTTGCCAAGTTATATTGAAATCGGACCAAAACGGTAGGAGGAGTAGCATTTTGAAAGAATTTCTAAGAAAACTCTATTTTTAGTAACCATGGCAACACCGTTCATCGAAATCAAAAACCGATGCACAGAATTATGTATCTTAGTGTAGTCTACTTGTGTGCCAAGTTATATGGAAATCGGACCAAAACTGTAGGAGGAGTAGCATTTTGAAAGAATTTCTAAGAAAATTCTATTTTTAGTAACCATGGCAACACCGTTCATCGAAATCAAAAACTGATGCACAAAAATATGTATCTTAGTGTAGTCTACTTGTGTGCCAAGTTATATTGAAATTGGACCAAAACTGTAGGAGGAGTAGCATTTTGAAAAATTGTTTACAGACAGACAGACAGACAGACGGACAGACAGACGGACGGACGACGGACGCATTACTATCGCATAAGCTCTTCTGGTCTTTGACCAGTAGAGCTAAAAAACTCCATGATCAAGACATAACAGAACATAATATTTAGTGCACATGACACATGATGAAAGAAAGCAACGGAATTGTTGGACAGACTTAATTTCTCTAAATTTACTAGTTGCCCATGAAAAAAATACTTGTACAGATTTTATATTTGTGGAAGACATGTTTTCAACTGATGACATTAAAATCAAAATTTATCATGTGTTTAAGGAGGAAACTAAAAATGTTTTTTTTTATCCTCCTATAATGGGTGACAGCAAATTGAATGCAGCCAGCTGTTTCCTTCGGTATTGATCCTCGCCCTCCAGTAAGTGTCCAATCCAAACATACATTTTTACATTTAAAGTAAAACAGGACTTTACCTGGAGTCAATTTGCCACTACGCAATTTAACAAAATTTAATTTAAACAGCCAGTTGAAAAAAGAAATCTTTTAATGAACCCATTGAAGCAGGAAGTAATAGTCCCCAGAAGTACAAAGTGCATTTTTTTATCCATTAAAATAAAAATTTACATTTAAAACTCAAGAAAAAAAGACTAAAAATATATGCACTTGCACACGGAACTAGAAATGTTTAAAGGTATTCATCACAGCACCTGTTTGCTTTAAAACATAAAATTCTGAATAAGCTCAGTTTTGTGCATGTTGAACATGTTTAGATAATGTAATGGTCCTGCTGTTCTAAACAGAGTTTTGAATTGGTGGCCCTTCTACTAACTTTGAGCAGCCATGATTTGAACAAACTTGAATCTACCTTACCATGCTTACTTAGGATGCTTAAATATACATGTATATTCACATACATGTATGTATCATGAAAGTGACTATGCATTTCTCATCAGCAGATTTTAAAAAAAAATGTTTTCCTCTACATGTAAAAGTTTGATTCCCCACTGTGACCCAGCCCTTATCCCAGTGGCCATATAGATTTGATCATCTATGAATACATTTTATTGAATTATTTCACTCTCAACTAGTTTTACATGCAAGATTGAATAACACTGCTTTCATAGCTTTTCTATTATTTACAAAGACTGATTTAAAGTGAAATATGTGAGTCCTTGAAAAACTTGACTCAGCAATGTGCTGCACAAAACACACTCCTGCACAAAGAAGATATAGATCCTCCAGGAAATACAGGGTTGAGAGATGGGAAATGAAAAAGGATGTTCTCAAATATCATTAAAATTTATATCAAGTACACAATTAACATCCTAAAGTTAATGCTATTATCATCAAAAAATAAGAAAAATTGTCTTGCTTATGTAATTCTTTAAAAAATTTAGATCTATATTCAGGAATGTTTATTTGGAATTATTTTCAGTGCTTTTTTGATAGAACCTCATCTAGTTCATGTACCTCAATTTTTTATGACCCAGAATCACAATCCCTAAGAAAATGCCCCCCCCTCCCCGGGGGCCCCCCAAATTGTTCAAGTTTTTTTTTCCCCTTGATCAAATTGATTTTAAAAGAGCTTTTTTTATATATTGTACCATGGTTCCTTTTGATCTAATTTTTTAAAGTTGTTTAACGTCCCTCTCGAGAGTTTTTCTGTCATTTAGAGATGCCACTATTTGCCGGGGGAGAGCTACAAATGTTAACCTATCCTCGGCACCCAGGGTCACTGAGCAGTTAGGGATCTTATTCCTGCCAGCACCTACTGCGACACAGGACCTCGGTTTATACGGTCTCATCCTAAAGACCGGTCTTCAGGTCCCACAGTGGGATTTGAACCCGCTAAGTAAGGATCAACTCTTTTGGATGTGACATGATTTTGCCCAAAAATCGACATTTTTAAAAAGTTACTGTAATGTCAAGAAGAGTAATATGTCGTAACTCATTGTGATGTGGGCATGTTCACCCATAAAAAATGTGAATTGCAAAATTTTTTTGTATGATTTATCATTTATATATTAGTGCTTCATTCCTTCCTTGATGAGAGACAAAACAAAGCCCATGTTGCACCTGTTGATCATGTTGACAGCACAGTAACTTTGATCACACTTAACGATGTCACTCAGTCTATTTAAAAGAATTTTGCAAACATAAAAATACATAAGCCTGGTGGAGAGGGGGCAGGGACCGGGGTGCAGGGGCTGGGGGCATGGGCAGGGGCCTGGGTGCGGGGGCTGGGCACGAAGGGCACACGTGTCACCTGTCATCAGGTCGTCCTGTCACATGATAGACTTACCCCTACACGTCGTCAGATACACCAAAAATAACAGCACGGTACAGATTCCAAAAGGGATAAATCTATTCATCGTTGTCTCTTTTACGAGGTACAATGCACAGGTAAAATCAGTTGTGCGTGTTTTCTACGAATGAAACTTGCTTTCGATTTACAGTTTTTTTCTGAGCATTTACGTCATAACCGGATATATCCAGAATTTATTTTTTTGTAACCTCGAACCCGATGACGATTTATCACATGATTGAATCTGGGGAGCGGATCAAAAAGCTAAAAACCTAGCTGTTTTCTTTTGGCATTTGATTATCATTTTGATTCATGTCAGCTCATGCATTGTTTAAATAGTAAAGGAAAACGTTAATATAAATATTGAGATTCATTTTTTTACGACTCTAAAAATGGGTTTTAAAAAGTTCGTAATTGACAAATGCTGCATATAAATGATCACACTGCTATATGAAATATTTAAAAATAGACTCTGATTAAGAATATTCTTTTAAAAATGAGAAAAAATATAATACAGAGTATTTAAGAAAGTTTAAAGGTTAAAAACATGAACATGCAGGACACAGGATGCAGGACATAATCTAGTTCCAAAATACTGAGTACATTTATGTAGGGGGATCCACTGGGGTGCATTATAGTATTTATAAAATGAAGCGTTTTTATTATATTAAAGTTACCATCTTCTCACAATCAATAAAATTCAAAAAAGAATGAAAAGACAAAGAATAAAAAATATTGAAATAACTGGTTTTTAAAACGAGTTTTAAGCCATAGATCCATATTGCATAGATCATGACGTTATGATAAACAGAAGTTCTTAAAGAGGGATCATAAATATGTTATAAACGAAGAACTAAAGAAGAGCTGCAATATATGTTATTAAGCTCTTAGAATTTAAAATGATCTTTGGTAGACCTCCTTTTTGTAGTACTCCGTAAAAACAAAGATTTTTGGCCTTTTGATCAGAATCAGAAAATTTTATTCAAAGTCGGCCGGATTTTAAAATAACAAGTTCTGTAGAGCGTTTGACGGACATTGAGATGAAAAATATACTCATATATTACGCACAAAAAGTGCGCTTTTTCTCGATTTATTCCTCTTGTGTGTTCCAGCTGCAATCTAAAAATATTACTAAACCATATTTTTTTCATTTTTTTTCCAAAACAAAACATTTTATTTGTTAATATACATATTGCCTCCTGTGCTTGAAAATGAGACCATCGAGAGAAAAAAATCGTTTATTTATTCTGCCATTTTGGGCGGAAAGATAAATCGATCCAATGCACTCCTGGTAGATGTCCACTACAAGATTATAATGATGTAATTGACAGAGGTCTTAGGAAAATTCTGAAATTGAGATCTTGTGCGTTTAAGGTAAGAATTATGTAAAAAAAAAAAAAAAAAAAATCAGAACCGAGAGCAACTTTTTGTGTGCAATAAAAAAATTAAATAAACATTTTTTTTATTTTGGTGTGACTGAAGCTCTCTGGTTACCATCCCATTTTTTTTAGACCAGCGAGATACAGATTTGCAGCTAATTAATTTCTTTTATTTTTAATATCGTTTATCTTTGTTTTATAAAGATTAAGTGAAGTATTTTAATCCCCCCCCCCTTAGTTTAAATTATATATATAAAAATATTTTACCTATCCACTTGCTCAAAGTTAAATATGATAAATATAATTTGAACATTATGCATATATAAAGATACCTTTATCTCTTATCGTCATATATTCATATAATGTAAATATAATAAAGGTAACAACACAGATTTTACAATCTGTCGGTTAAGTTCAGTGTTTTACGGGGACAACTGGGAATAAATTAATCCTCAGTAAATATAAAAATTGGACCATTCATCCGGATTCTTCGCCATGGCTCTTCCATGGAGGCTCAGTGCACATGTCGTTTTCTTTTTGGCCTTAGCTCTGATCTGTGATGCACGTAAGATTTTATCATAAACTGAAGTAACTTTGTACTAGAAAATTTATCTCTAGGCAATTTGAGCTGGAAACTCTATATTATTATTTTACTTATTTGCATAATTTAGTTTTTTGTGATTGAAACATATTTTTTATTGCTACATATTCCATAGGATTATACAAATTTTAGCTTGTATATACTCTTACAGAAAATGTCACAACACAGATCACAACTGAAGGCAACAATTCAACGGTAACAATTACTTCAGGGTCCACAGAACCGAATACAGGGTCCACTCCTACATCACCAGTGACATCAGACTCTGTAACCACGCCCACGGGCAGCACCGAGAAAGTAAACAGTAGTACAGTAGAACCCAACTCTACCGGAACTAGTGTTATTACGTCACAATCGACCACCGGGGATTACTCCCCGCAGACATCCACCATTAAAACCACTAGATCCCCGCCCGCTTCTACCTCTAAGCCTGGCTTTGATGGCGCTTCGTTCGGGGGTGGGATAGCTGTGGGGGTGGGGATTGTGATCTTCCTGATAATAATAGGAATAGTCTTTATAACAGTCAAAACCAGAGTGAAAGGACCGAACTATGAAGTGTTATAATCTTACTCATTTACGTATTTGATATATTGACATAGTTTATATATATTTTTAATTTAAAATCATGCACATTCTGTTATTTTAATTTTTGAACCCTGTATGTATCATGCAGACGCGATTTTCGTAGAATCAACTCAATTCCTCTAGTGATGGGGCTACAACAAATTTAGCAATGGATGTTATACATCCCTCTCCCTCTTACAATTTTTTATCCTTAAAGCAATTTCATACATGTAGAATTGTTTCTGCATTGTTGACCAGTTAAACTGGAAAATTAATACATATATAGCGCCTCTACTGTTGCAAAATTATATTCATATGTATACATGCAGTGTATACCTTGGTATTCATTCATATTTTCATTTCAGAATGCTTGTAGTTTCCCCCATCGAATTGTTATGGTTTAAAAATAAATTTATTGCTCTGTTGAAATGCATAAATTTCATTCTGATATTAAATTTATTTGAGTTTAAGATTTTATTTTTTTTAGAAGTTTTAAAGTAATTTAATTAATCTGAAGATCGAGAGGAATTTAACAATTTTTACAGGGGAAAGTGTAATAATTAAATATATTTTGCTATACAAAGAAAATTTAAACATTTACTGTTGAACAGTTACTATAATTTACTTACATGTACGCACATACTGAGAATACCCGTATCCGATAAGAAAATCAATAAGCTGTGACTGATACCTTGGTAATAATAAATTCTGGATGTAAGAAAAATAATTTTCAAACTTTATAAATAAAATGAATGACTGTTTTAAGAGAATGAATGCAAAAAAAGGAGAGGTGGGGGAACTGGGAGCGTCCAGCCTTCAAATAAAAAAAAATCCATACTGAATACACCCCCCCCCCACCCAACCCCATCCTCAAACACTAGAGGCCTGAAGTGTCACACCACGATCTTTTTTTTCCCTTAAATTAGATTTCTACGTTTGATGACTTAATACATTGTAAGTTGATATCTACGGAGATAGGTGGGGGTGTTTTGCTGATTACTTTTATAAGTTATAAAAATTAATAGAATTACAACTGTAGTGGAGATATAAAACCTAATTAATCACGTTATGATCTGTCTGTCCGTGATTGCAAGTAAGACATTATCAACAGCTATACCTTGTATCACATGCATTTATTTTATCTTACTCCATATATAGTGTCTGTATATTGTGAAATACAACAAATATTTGTACAAACGACTGATTTATCAGCCGAGCCTGCGGTTTCTACTTTAGACTTTATCTTCTCTAATTATGACAGGTTTCCACGTGAAGATTAATTTAAGAGAAAACAGCGGCTAAACCTTTTACAATGATTTTTCACAGATCGATCCTTTCCTAGGATTTCCCCTTGAAATCATTTTCATTTCTTAATGACAGACCCAAATTATGCAACGACAACAAGTGATTTCTAAAGTGGTTTTAATATTAAAGAATATTATATCATGTATAGGGTAAAACATTTAGTATCAGCAATCACAATTCAAGTGATTTACAATTTGAGTCATATGTGAAGAAAATTATAGGAAATACATTCTCGCACGATAATTATTATCGTTTTTAAGGAGTGAGGGACTTTACATTGGTATCAAAATTTAAGTATTGTGATATACATGAGATTGTATGTATCAGTAAATACACGTTAATTGATTTTCAGCAAGATCATAAAGGAAGTAGGTACTTTACTTTGAAAACTTAAAATATCCGATTTGTCTCATTTTTAAAAAGAAAACTTTTAAATAAATGTCATTATTTTCATTACACCAATTAAATATTCTTTGGGAAGTTTTAATTTCATGTAATGCTAAATTAAGAAAACGGTTTTTAAAGAAGAGTTAACTGCTCTTAACCAAGTTGTACCAGTTATTCAATTAATTCCTTATTTAATTTATCTGTTTTTCAATCAAGCGGTTTAATACCTTTTTCATGTTAGTCATTGTGACGTAGGTAGAAGTAAAATTAGTTTTTATCCAATCAAATGACGCGTTACAACAACAATTAAATTATACCGGTATAACTTGGTTTTATTTTTTTAATTCATTCCTTATAATTTCATTTTCATTCAATAACTAAAGTATAGAAAACAAGACAATTCCCCTCTTTTAAAAAACGTCTTCAAATTGTATCAGGTCCTATTATAAACTTAAGGTTATTAAGCGGATTGATACATTTTTGACGAAAGTCATTATGACGTAGGAATCCTAGGCTATGCAATGCAGATTGCTTTTATCCAATGAAATGTCTCGTTACAACCTAAATTAAATAATTGTAAAATAAATAGATACGCAGATATCATTTTTCCGGATTTCTCCTCAATTTTACTCCGAGGCACGTTCAAACTGAACTGACAAGAAAGTGTTTCTCTTTTAATTCTATCTTTAATCCAGTATGCATGTACAAAAAAACGTAATGATATAAAACACACATATTAAAACAAATTGTTCCTTTGCTCGCTCCGTCATTCAGACACAATTTATAATTTAAATTTTATGCATAAACATTTTTCTCAAACACACCCAACATGTACCACATACATTGCACGACAATTAATTTTTTCACACATACAGTTTAACACGCAATCACATAATTAGATAATTTTTTACATACAAAAACTTATTTAAACATATACATGTGACACGTGCATACATGTTGAAATGCAGTTAAGTATTTCACAATGTTTCTCAAAATGCATAGACCTGCGTATAAATCATAATCTCTACTGCATTTCAACCTTTCATAGTTTGAATATTTTTAGGGATTTTCCCTCGTCTCCTTAAAATGATTTGAAATTGTTTGGATTTGTTGAAATATTGAGATTTCACATTATTCAGTATTGAGAATACCCTCCGTTCCGACTTTTATATTTATAAATTCCAAAAGAAAGAATAGCGGCAAGCACAACACCGAGGGCTATTCCTCCCCCAAACGAGGCTCCGCTAAATTTAGAAGATTTAGGAGCAGTTGTCGTTGTGGTTGTTTTTGTTGTAGAAGTCTGAGGATTTGTTGGTGACGACATGGGTCCTTCTGACGTCAGAGGCATACTTGAGTTCCCGGATGTTGTTGACATAGATACTGTTGTCATATTGTTGGTCACGTTACTTGTTGTCATGGGCGCCGTTGTCATATTGTTGGTAGCGTTATTTGTTGTCATGGAGGCTGTGGTCATGTTGTTGGTCATGTTACCAGTTGTCACAGGGACAGTTGTCATGTTGCCTGCTGTCGTTTTTGCGGCGGTTGTCGTGATTCCTGCAGTGTTACTCGTTACGGCTGTGTTGGCAGAACTTGTACTTGTATCATTCGCTCCAGCAAAAAATTCACTGATAACTGGGCCTATAATTGTAAAAGAATAATCATTTTTTGGAAGGCATATTATGTAGAAAGTTATCAGTTTTATTAGTCTAGTATGTAAGCAAAAGAACTTAATCCAAAAACCATAAAATATGGCCTCATCCCTTAAATTTTTTTTCGATATTTATTCAAAAAGAGATCTTGCAATATGAAAGAGATCTTGCAATATGGTAGTGTTTTGATGGAAAAATCATCCGATTTCGACAGAAATGTTGCACATGTAAAATGTATCAATGGTCTAAGGTGAGATTCAAAAAAAATACTTATTCTAAAGCCCTCATTTAATTTTTCATATTTGCTAGGCCATATGAGGCACTTTGTGGGTCGACTTCTTTCATTGACAAAAAATAAGCCTTCCTTACGCAGTTATACGTTAAATGAGACCAAAAAAATTGATAATGTCCAACGGACCAATTTAGTGAGGACCTGTCCTGATATATAGGTAGATAATTCCAACCAAAAGACTTCAGGTTTGTCCTGTACATAGAAATTCTGTCGAAAGTACAGATTGGGACTCTACTGTGTGATCGACCAATAAAATTGTTTTTTAATGGACATTCTTCACAAACCAGGAGGGAGAAACGTTATGTAATAAATATAAAACGCCAATCTTAAAATTAAATCAAAGAAGGAGCAGGCAGTGATCAAGATCTGATTTGCAGTATGTTACATATATAACGGTATACAGTAGAAGTTATGTTATATAGCCGAACTTATGTTCACCTACCTCCAAAAACCACGCCCCCTTCCAAACACAGGAGACAGAGGACCGTCATGACCCCCAGGCAGAATAGAGACCTCATGGTGACGAGTGGAGGGATGTGACGAAGGACGGAGGATAGAACCGGTGTCTGAGGCAGCTTGTCTGTCAGTAAGCCGGGAATAATCTCACCTTTATACCTGATGAGGGAGGATCACGGTTCATTGGTTGATCAGTCTGTTCAGGTGATTATACACAGAGGTAATATTCGGACTCCTCGCGACTGATAACACAGGTATTCGGTGAGACTGTGTTCGACCTAGCAAGGTTATGGACCCATGTAGGAAACATGTCACAAGGTTTATCTCCAAATCAATTCAATTTGATGATGCAATTTTTTGTAAAGTTAACCTGTAAATGTGGAATAATTGAAATAATTAGGAAATCTCTAGAAATTTAATTATGGAACTTAAACTTTTATTTTCTTAAAGATATATCTGCAAAAACACATGCCACTTCAAATTATTTCTGAGTGGATGATACGATCCGTTTGGTAAAATGACCCATATGAAACTTCTGTTATATATGCCAACTTCTAAATAATAAACGTAACGTTTAAAAAAATTGACACCTTAAATGTTGTAATGATCATTCCATTTCGCAATGAAGAAATATTAAACATCATTCGAGGTCAAAGGTCATGTTACATTTGGTCATAATTTTATTTTAATTTTATTGTGTCGGTATACTTAAAAGTAGGTAAGAAATATATTTTTAGTGTAGACTAAGAAATGTAATTTTATTGTAAAATGGTTTAGACCAGCTAGGAAAGGTAAAATAAAACATATAGTCTTTAATTCTGAGGTCAAAGTTGAAGGTCAGATGTAAGTTAATAGGATGAAACATGGTGGAGAGAAAGGATATTTTATTATAGATGTATGACGAATTCAAAGTTACAGGGTTTGATTGATTGTATTTTATTTAATATTATCGTCCAACTTAAGATCCAGAACTGTTCAAGAATTTTTCAGTCATACGTCACATCTCCTTTAATTTAAACAATATTTTATTATGAAAAAACATAATTGGATTGGACAGCAGGCACTCTCCTTTCCACAATACAAGATGTACAAGTAAACATTATTAATATAACATGAAAAATATAAATATATAATGTTGTATATGACCAATAAACATCTCCTTTAGATGAGATGTCAATGTTTTTGACCAATAAATGGAACTTACGGCTAGCTATATATAAGGGAACCTTATTATGCCAGCGTCTAATGGGACACGTACGAGTTTTTAAGGTCTCTCCTGAAAGAGCTGCTACTAAAAACTCACAATAACATTGACATACAACTGTACATAGAACTGCTACTGATATAAAATCCGAAAGTTATTTATAATTGATAGTAATTATATTTTTGCTAGATTAACATTCGTCTGATTCCTGGATGCTTCAGTTAGCCATCATTTTAATCCTTACTTTCAGTTTTAAGTGTCTTTGACCTTTCGCTTAAAAACTTTTAATTTTTAACCTTAAGGTCCTTCACATTTCACTGTGACGTCACAGGCTTTGCAAACACCGCGATGAACAATTTATAGGACAAATATTTTCTTTGCCTGACCTCTGCTTAAGTCCTCAACCCTCATTAAATTCACCCTTCACAGCCATAATCACTTTGTTGTATTGTAACTGATCTAGAAGTCGGTGCTGGTGATCTACTGGGGATGAGCGACCTTTTGAAGTGTAAGATTAGCGTACACTATCATATGACGTGAGAGATGCAACGATATATGTTCCAAAGAACTGAGTCGAAAACATGAGAGAATACGAAGTCATTGAATGGCTGATTTTCACAGTTGCTACTGCGACATTATTTTGAGAAAATACTAGCAAGAAAGACAAACTATTACGACAAATACTTGATGGTGTGATGCTAAATTATGGAAGGAAAATTGCTACTGCAAGCAATAGCATATGTCAACCTGGTCTAGCTGATATAATATAGTTGAAACCAAAGCAAATAAAAGCTTGTAATGGCAATTTGGTTACTCAGAAAAGTTCTGAAATCTATTAAAATTTCACTAAGATTTAAGGAATGCAAAACTGACTTTTTCTTGTTAATTATAAAAATAAGACTGAATGTTTCAACAAAAATGATAGAATTGCTACTGCACTTTCAAAAACTGTCTCAGATCATGATACCCCACGTACATATTATACATGTAACTTACACCATGAGCATGTATGTAGATCGAATTATGTCAAAGATATGTAGACGTGTTCGTCGATGAACTCATTGCCATGCGGTCGTTATCTCGAGTCAATATCGTTTATGGTGATAAAAATTACTACGCTGTACAAGGTACCCGGTTTTATGACCTTTGACCTATTTACACGAGGTAGAGGGTGATTATAGCTGTTCATGAATGAATACCGGTGTATTTCTGTTGTAAATATGAAGGCAAAATTTGTACTGAGTTTTTACTGTGGTCTTATTCTTAGTGATTTGATTGGAAATGCTAAATTGGGTACGTAAGAACAATTACATCCTTTTTTTTACTCAATTTTCATATATATGTTTATAGTTTTGCAAACTTTAAGAACTGCTTTCAAGCTTCATTCATTTTGTATGATTGATATTGTCACAACTGACCTCAAGTTGTGATGGATTTTTTATATTTGTATTAACAACCCAAAACAAATAATATTTTGGAAGACCTCCTGTTTACAAAGAAATAACAAGATTCATAAAAATTAACAATAAATTTATCTACATATGTACAATAAACAAGAAAGACAAGACAAGACAAGTGACAGATATTGATTGTTTTAATCGTTCAATTTTATTTTTGCTAGCCATCAACAAGACAGATACAATTAAAAATAATTCCAATCTTCATTTTATCTATTGATTTCCTGTGTTTTGATTCCAGAAAATTTTTACACATCGATAAACCAAAGACACTACTAGGTTATCGTATAAACAATGAAAGCAGTTATTTCTGGGTCTGTTCTGCTAAATAATGAATACAAGAAACTTTAAATTTAAATTTGGTAGACTGCCTAACTGATCAGTGAAAAGTTTATGTCACTGTCCGATCAAGTGTGAATTTTAAAATTTCATACGTAGAAAATAAATCGTTTTAGGAATGCAACTCTTGCCCTATTAGCATCAAATTCGTATTTACTTTCTATATTGTTCCTCAATATTTGAATAAACAAGTGCAAATTGAAGGCGTCGTCGGTCTGCAACTTGTCGTTTATGTCAACATGGCCATGGTCAAGGACGAACTATTCTGAAGTAAACTCGTAATTACGATATTTGTTGACTTAAACAACATTCGATTAGTTGTTATAAGCACTTTGACAAAAGTTGAACTGAAATTCATCTCGATTACGTTCCTTTACGGTAAAATGTATTCCTACGTCCCACGTACATATTAAAGAATACGTAAGCGTTTGTAACTTACTTACATATTAAAACTCCTTTTTGTAAGCAAACGTTATATATGTATGTTACTTTATATTAATAAACTGGTCTTTAATTAGGGATACCAAACGAGAAATATCGAAAGAATGTGTATTACACAGGTAAGGCTACACTACTTTCACTTTTGCTTTCGTACAGAATATTTGCAAGACATAATAAAACACATTTACCTATAACTGGTGGGCATTACCGTAAACAATTCCTCTCTAACGGTTTTAACTTTTAAACATATAACTTTTACATCTTTAAGTTATTTTTCTGCTGATTTATCATGTATTTGTTTAAATCTTGTAGGTGTGTTCTTTTCAGCCAATCAAAAACTTTACCAGAATTTCGGTACCGCTTTGGCGTTTTATGACCTTACGGAGACACCTATTTACACGAGAAGTAACGGAGTATGGAGGTGATTATAGCTAAAAATTCGATATGAATGAATACCGGTGTATTTCTGTTGTAAACTTTTATGAAGACAAAATTTGTACTGATAAATTTTTACTGTGGTTTATTCTATTGTGACCTTTATAGGAAATATATAATTTATATATACTCAAGAACAATTACATCCAGTTTTTTAACTTACTCAATTTTCATATATATGTTTATAGTTTTGCATAACTTAAATGAACGATGTCTATGGCTTTTAAAATTTATTTGATGTTATAGAAAGATAAAGATGTTGCTTTCAAGCTTCATTCATTTTGAAATATGTCTTCATAAAAGTAATTGATATTGATTGTTTTTTAGTTATCGTTCAATTTTATTTTTGCATGTAGCCATCAACAAGACATATAGTCTAAAAAATCTCATATTGAAAAATTTTTTTGCTTTAAAAAATGATACCTTTACTTTAACCTTTCGAGTTGAACAGCGCATCCTTACAAATATATAATTTATATATACGATATATCAATAATAAAGATCATTTTCTTTCAACGAAAGAGCGCACCAAGGGAGATAATCTCGAAACTTGCGTATTAAATTGCATTGTTCTCTTTATAATGCTGATAAATTAAGACTGAGCAAAGGTTTATAAAACATTGCAGAAAAGTTTTGTTCATTGAGAGCATATTGTTCAGAGGGTTTTTGTACCAATTTTGTATTAATAGCCTATAAAAACAGCACTTAATGTACAATACAGCATACATGGTCATTATGCATTAAAAATTTTGCTTTCTATCCTAGATGCAGCAAAAACAACAAAAAAGACAACAAAATCACATGTAACATCTACACTACAAATGACAACCGAAACCACTTCGTCAACATCCACGCAAAACCATACAGCACCAACAGCTCAAAACACGACAACAGTAGCATCATCTCCAGGAATGACAACAGGATCAATGGATTCTAACATGACAACATTTTCTAACAACATGACAACACAGCCAACAAATGCTTCAAGTGAAACTCCATCTGTTGTCACAACTTTACCATCCACTATGACATCACAATTCACAATGACGTCAACATTACATACCATTCCAACAACCACCCATCGCTCGCTTCCTGCTACAAAGAAGAAGGAATTCGATGCGTGGTCCTTCCTTGGTGGTGTAGCACTAGGACTTTTAGTAACATTAGCCTGCATTGGACTCGTTTATTACTTCAACAATCGAACGCCATTTTCAAACAAGAGTGTACAGTACCGCGCCATGGAACATTAATTATCGTCTTACATTGATTTTCGTTTAATACGCATGTTGGCCGGCATAAAATTGATCATTGTAAGCCGTGCCGTGCTGAATACCAGTGAATACTCAGATACTGTGTCATTTACATGTGTGTAAGAGATACTATTAAAAACTGCTCACACACTTTGTAATATTTCTATGCATAATTTCTACATGTCTGCTTTAAACCTTTGTAATTTTTTAAATGCAATATTTATATAAATACTGTCGAGATACTATTAAAAACTGCTCACACACTTTGTAATATTTCTATGCATAAAAGCTTTAAACCTTTCAAAAATGCAATCGTTTATATAAATAGGTCAATATAAAGACTTAAAAATCAAAAATGTGAAAAAAACCTAAAAATAAATGAAAAAAAAAAAAAAAATTGTTGGTTTTAAAAGGAAAGTCTTGTCACAAAATATACATTTGTGAAATATGAAAGACGTAGCGGGATTAGAGGCCTGTTCAACAGAGTGAACGTTCGCGAGCACTCGCCAAAATTCATTATACTCCAATAGTAATTTTGGCGAGCGATCGCGAACGTTCGCTCTGCTGAACAGGCCTCAGTATTCGGTATATATCCATAACATAAATAGGCATTGTCAGACGGGTATATAATATAGTAGTCAAAGACTCTTCTGGCTGCTGGTTTTAAACAAAAATGAAGAAATCCTTGTTACGTTAACTTTTCTGTCAGTAGCATGTCTTGGTTTAAAAATTGATTGTGTTCAACATAGTTATCCATATATAATTCTTTCATTTATCATACCGGTATTACGATTTTCCTAGGAAATGTTACAAAATTCTTTTATTCTTTTTGATTCTTTGCAAAATGACTAGCGCCCCCTTCCTCCTTAAATTTTCATCAAACAGCTTATATGAATTTAACGATTCCTATTTTTTAAAATCATAAATCTTATTCATATCTACTCCTTCCCCTTTATAACTTATTGGTTATCTTGTCTTAGCATTTTATCGCAAGGTGTAAGTGATAAGGAAACATTTAATGATATTTTATCAAAAAATATCCATGAATTTATATAAGTTCAATATAATCTGGGGGAAGTTAACGCCTCAAACATTTATGACTTATTTCCACGTTTGAAATATTTATTTCCTACCTCAAATTAATAAAGAATTCCACAAATATACCTCTCACAGCTAGTGAAAAAAGTGTAAATTTTCTCAAAGCCAGTAGATAAGAATAAACTCTCCTATATTTCTACACTTTATAGTCAAAGAAAAATTACAAACTCGAAACTGACGTGAATTTATCCGCAGGTAATATCGTGAGGAATGTTTGTGTATAAAGTTGAATAGTCGGAAGTTCTTAAGCTGGTAATTTTGGTGAAATCTATATTGCAATTTCTATATTAAAAAAAATGAAAACAGAAGAAAAGTTGTATAACAAGTTGAAAGGTTTCGTAAGATGTTCTGTACTTTCAAGATAAAATGAAAGAGTTTAGAGATTTAAACTGTGATAACGAAAATAATTTCCCTTTAGATATTCCCTATCATCACTTTTTGATATAATTTATTTTTCATTATTATACAAAATAATTTCCTAGTTCCTATTTTCCGCATTGCAAGAAATCGACCTTTCAGCATATAAGGAGATCTAAAACAGAAAAGGGGAAACAGTTTTGGTTATAAATAAATAAACACAATAAAATATTCCGACTGCATATCGAGTTTTAAAATCACTTAGAATTTAAATTATCATTTCCCAACCGCTCGAAAATAAATTGTACTATCCTTTTTAGCACACCTGTTGTGTATTTTAAGATGATAAATAACAGGTTAACACAAGGACCAAAATTCATCAGGCATACAGTGATTGTTTCAAAATCATATCATATGAATATTAATAACCATGTATTTTATACACTGTAGACCTATAATATGCGACTGCCTTTCCATGCACCAGTGAAAATTACACAACCAATAAATGAACATCTACTTCCTTTTGAAAAGTACATGCTCCTTGCTCTCAGGTACACCGTATCTCCTCTACTCGAGAACTATATCTGTACAACGAACTATCACTTCCTTGACCTTTGACACAAGGATATCATGTGACTTGGTGACTGGAGAGCTTCACACTCCCAAAGATAAAGATGGCGGTGGACGGGAGGACGCTGATCCTCGCTCTGGCTCTGTCGTCTGCTATCCATGCCTCCACACAAGCAGGTAATTTATTATTTATTTATTATTTTACATTTTATTATTTATATATTATTCAAATTATTCATTTTTTTTTTCATTTTCATAATGTAAAAGTTGTTAATAAAAGCTGGTTCAAGCTTTGAATCAGGAAGTTTTCAAAAACATTTAATTTCATAAAGCATTGAATTTTTAAAATCTAAAAATTAATTTATAAAAATTAAATATCATTTCCACTTTTCGTAGTTAAAAGGACTTGGTATTCAACGGTATCGTAAAACATGCCGGTCTTCTAGTTGGATAAAATCTCCCTGTTGAAAATATTCACCTTCCTTATACAAAATTTACTTTTTATGACCAGGAACAAGCGCCATAAGACCATTATACGACGTTACCTGGTATCTTTATAAGGTATTTAAGATGCGGAGTGTATACTTTGTATGATAAAATTAATGTACATGCATTAAACAATCGTTACCTTTCATCATTGCTGAATGCACCTGTACTTATATTCTTAAAAGACGCAAAACAGAGCAAAAATATAGGTCCCATATTACGTAAATACTCAGACCTATATACATGTAGCATACATAATCAAATACAGGTTTACAAGTGATTTGTTAATTTCACTCATATTTCATGTGAAAATTTATTATTGAAAGCGATACCTAGTGTCTGTAATGTTTTGAAGTACTTGGTAGTGTGTGCTGCACAACTTCTCACTTGCTTGGCCTAGTGGGTTATTCAGAGTTAACCCTCCATTGGTAAAGCATTAAAATGGCATGCCGAAGACCCTGTGTTAAAACCGAACAGATACCAAGTTTCTTTATTTCCTTAGATCTACATCATGATGTAAGCCAACTGGCTAATCAGAGTTACGTTATACAAAGTGCTTCAAAATAAAACCAGAGGTACTGTGAGCAATGAGCTCACTAATGATACCCCCGCCTCCCATATGAATATAATGGCAGTGTCCATGTTTTGCTGTGGGAAACCCAAAATATGTACGGATCAAAAAGTAAAACAGGAGCTCACAATGGCAATACATGTATGTAATAAAGATTCTGTGAAAGTTTCATCAAATTTCATTCAGTGGTTTGAAAGGAGTTGCGGATAAGAGATGGGTACCCCCAAAGCGCAACAGACGGACGGACATAGCGAATACTATATACCCTCCAGTCCCGCTTTTCAAGCGGGGGGTATAATGAAATTCGTCTTCTACATCATGGAGATTACAACTTGTACATGTATAATCTATTAATCTTGAGTATGTTAAGGTGGACCTGTTTCAGTATTCAACGTGTGATTTGATAACCGACATTTTGCTTATAACAGACTAATTTTTATACCCCCCGCTTGAAAAGCGGAGGGGTATATAGTAATCGGTATGTCCGTCCGTCTGTCTGTTACGCTTTGGGGTACCCATCTCTTATCCGAAACTCCTCTTATTTCACTGAGCGAAATTTAATGAAACTTTCACAGAATCTTTATTATGTTCCCCAAACGAAGTTGGGGAACATATTGTTTTTACTCTGTTTCTTATTATTATTATTAAGGTCTTCCGTCTTCAGCGGAAGTTATTCTTAGGTTTCTTTTTCACTTTTATTATTATTGTTTTTTTTTCTTACCGATTTTGTGCACGCGATTTCTCAAAAACGGCTCGATGGATTTCCATGAAACTTTCAGGACTTATGTTACATCACTTGAACCTTATGCGTTTTTTTCCGTTTTGATGACGTCACTTCCGGTCCGGAGTTATCAGCACTTTAATGGTTTTTTGAGGGTCGGTTTGTCCGCACGATTTCTCCTAAACGGCTTTTGATAGAAACGTGATACTTTCAGGTCTGGTAGACCTATGTCTGTAGATTTGCGGAATGTATTTCATTTTTACCGGAAGTGCCGCACGTCGGCCCTCGCTATGGCCCGAAAAAAAGTCGTATCGCAAATTAAAAAATTTTATCACCTTTTCTACGATATCTTTTTACCTGGAAATATTTTGTTAAAATATATAGAACAAAAGAAGTGTAGAATTTTAAGATCTTTCGATGATATCTCGTAATAAGGGCTGGCCCCTAAAATTAAGGGCCTAGAGGGGCCAAAAGTTTTTCCTTAATATCTCATAAAGTATTGAGAATTTGTAATACGTCAAAGAAGCAAAGTTGTTCAAAATGTCAAGTTCAATCTATTGGAGTCATTAAAATACGTCCGTCGTCGTCACTTCCGGCCAAACCGGAAGTAGTCGAAAAACGCGTATTTTTGCCGTTCTTAACCCGTTTTTGGGTAACATGTCTCGTCGTCACTTCCGGTCAAACCGGAAATAGCAAAAAATTGCTTATTTTAGCATAAATTAACATAAATGAAGGTGATTTATACATTTTTGGGCGTTACTACTCATTTTTGTAAAAAGTGAAAGTTACTTCCGGTTACTTCTGGTCAAACAGGACGGAAGACCTACTCGTTGCTTTGCAACGAGCTTTGCTCTAGTTATTATTATTAAGGTCTTCCGACTTCCTTCGGAAGACCTTATTGTTATTCGTCTGTTTTTTATTATTATTATTATTATTATTCTTTTTTTCATAGTTAAGGCGATATCTCAGCTGTGCGTTGTCGGATTTGAAAGATTTTTACAGGGATGATGCATCATGAGAATATCTCCAGACGTGTTTTTCATTTTTTCAAATTTCCCTTTCATTCGCGATTTTTGGGGATTTTTGTTTTTTTAAAAAGGCATTTTGTCCAGCAGTTTTCTCGAGAACGGCTAAAGATATGAAAGTGAAACTCACTGAGGTGATAGAACATCGAACTCCATTATGGGCAACGTCCTTTATTTTTCGTCGTCGGCACTTCCGGTTGCAAACGGAAGTAAATTCAAAAAGTGCAATTTTTCAACTTCTTTGTTGTTCAATATTTTTCTTTAGTTTTTTCCAGGGTTTATAGAGAATTGTATGAGAACTCTAAATGTATGTTCAATTTGTTGATGCATGCATATATTAAAAAGATATGACCAAACCAAACTTCGTCCCACTGTCGGGGGTTCGAATCCCGCTTGGGGCGTTTCAAAAATTTTTTCTTTGTATCTGCCTTTTTTCATTTGCAAATGACTTTTCTCTCTTTTTCAACATGTATGGAATATTTTGCCGATTTTTATAAGTTGTTTTTAGATATATTTTGAGATATACCTGTAGTAATCATGATGTAATGTGGAGAGACTGCTATGAATAAACGTTCATAAAAAAATGCACTCTGAAATCCATTTCCTGGAATGACACAGCATAGAGCTCTAACGAAAAGTCGGTCGGAAGACCTGCTTGTTGCTCCAGCAACAAGAACGCATCTAGTTCTTCTTCTTCTTCTTCCTGGGTACTTTTTTGTCCGGGAATGATCTCGCAAACTATACATCCGACCAAGGTGAAATGTTTTTAGGGTCAGTAGACATGTTATGTAGATTTGCGGAATGAAGGTCATTTTGCGCGCACGTGCTTGCAAGAGCGTGCACGTGCAACATGTGAAATGACCGATTTAATTGATATAGGCGTAACTTTTTAAATTTTTGATGAAATGCTTTGAAACTTATAATATAAGGATATATTTGTAGCATAGACAATATGACATGGTCAAAATAGCAAGATCTCACGCGCATGCACGTGCACTTTGCTCTGATTGGCTGAAACTAAAGTCTCAATATCTTTCTTGTTTTTTGACGAAATCCTTTGAAATTTTGAAATTAGCCATGCATTAGGATATCCTACAACATGATATATAGCAATTATCATGAAAACACGTGCATGCACGTGCGCTGCAATCTGATTGGCTTAAACTTTAAATAGCTATAACTCCCTTGATTTTCAACCAAACAGGATGGGATTTGGAACATAGATAGATATACTTGACTACAACAAGAAAATATGGTCCCCATGCACATGCATACACGTGCATGTACTTGCGCTGCAATCTGATTGGCTGAAGCTTAAAACAGCTATAACTCCCTTGGTTTTCAACCAAATGGGGTGGGATTTAGAACAAAGATAGATGTAACGGACATTTACAAGAAGGTATGGTCACCATGCTCATGCATGCACGTGCGAGCACGTACGTGCACGTGAAATGAGCAAAATAAAAAAAAACACTTGAATGAGCGTTTCTTTTTAAAACTTTTGGATTAAATACTTTAATGTTTAGTATATTAAAATATATAGATTGTGTAGACAAGATGATATGGTTATTACACACATGCATTCACATGCGCAGGCGTGCAATGCTAAAATTTGAATGAACTTTGTACACTTCTTAATAAACGTTGTTAAAGTTTCAAATGCATCGAGTTTGTCTTATTTAATGAAACTCCCAGGGAATATGGCACCAAAAGGGAGTTGGGGAGCGTTTGGGGAACATCTGTAACGGTCCCCGTTACAATAAGCACTAGTTACTTATTGACATTGTGCACCTCCTATTTTACTCTTGGATCCGAAAAATATTTTGGGTTTCCCGGCCACAGCAAAACATGGACTTTGCCATTATAACCATATGGGAGGCGGGGGTATCATTTAGTGAGATCATTGCTCACAATACCTCTTGTTATACCCCCCGCTTGAAAAGCGGGAGAGTATATAGTATTCGTTAATTCCCTCCGACCGTCTGTACGTCCGTCCTTCCGTCCGTCTGTTACGCTTTGGGGTACCCATCTCTTATCCACAACTCCTCTCATACCACTGAATGAAATTTAATGAAACTTTCACAGAATCTTTATTACATATTGCAATTGTGCACCTCCTATTTTATGTTTTGATTCGACACATATTTTGGGTTTCACGGCCACAGCAAAACATGGACTTTGCCATTATAACTATTATATGGAGGCGGGGGTATCATTTAGTGAGCTCATCGCTCACAGTACCTCTAGTTTTATTATACCCCACTTGAAAAGTGGGAGGGTATATAGTTATCGGTATTTCCGTCCGTCCGTCTGTTACGCTTTGGGGTTCCCATCTCTTATCCGCAACTCCTCTTACACCACTGAAGGAAATTTAATGAAACTTTCACAGGTTCTTAATTACATACATGTATTGCCATTGTGCAACTCCTATTTTACCTTTTGATCTGACATATTTTTTTTGATTTTCCAGAGGAAAAAATGGAAACTGCCATTATATTCATATTTGACGCGGGGGGTATCATTTAGTGAGCTCATTGCTCACAGTACCTCTAGTTTTAGATAGGTTTTGACAGGAGACACCTACTTTCTAGGTTTAGCTACATTTAATAACTTTGAATACGAGTGACTTTTATTGTTGTTATCCTTGGGTTTTTCAGTAGGTATCATGCATAAATGGCAATCTAATTTTATGTACAGTGTATCAGTGAAATGCATGTTTAAAGTGAATTGCTAGCTATTGTTATATGTAACTGAATGTAAAAATACGACGGATATAAAGAATAAAACTACAGAACATACCCCAAAATTGTAGTATTTTGGCTTAACGCTTATCTTCCGTATTTCAAAGAGAAAATCAGGAAAAAATAAGAATTTCCTTAGGCATGCCCAGATAGATGTGGACTTAATTAACAACAAATAAATTTCCATGTCAAATTATGTAATCATTTTGTCAATTAACTAGTATTTTTGACACTGTAAAATTTACAGGGATTTTGCCCGACTAGATTTCCATAGTTTACTTGTTTTATAAATACCACGAAAACATATGACGTCAGCAAAAAAATCAAAAGAGCAACTATGCAAGATATTCAATGACCTTCTGAACAAATAATAAATGATATGTGAGTTAAAATCATTTTAAAATAAGGAGAATTATTGTTTGTATGTGTGATAAATAACAAACATCTCAATTATTCAGTCTTGAAGCAATTTATTACAAATTAACCGTAATGCCACGAAAACTCATGGTTCGAGGGTAAACAATGCTGAGCTTTGTATATAAATTTCCTCAAACAAAAAAGTATATTCTACTTCCTAAAAAAAAGAATTCATTTGTTTCCTGCTCATGTTTTTTTTTTTTCCAATTTCTAAATAATTTAACAATATGGTACATTTTAATCTTGAGAAACTACTGTAGATCACTTAATTTTCGCGACACCATATTTTCGCGAGATAGTCATTGACTCCTGATTAGCGAGACAAAATTTTCACGAATTGTGGTAATTGCTCTATATAATCTTAAGGAATACTATTATACGCGAGAACTATATTTTTGCGAGCACATTGTTTTGCGTAATTACGCGAAAATAAAGTTCTCGCGAATAAAAATTGATTTACAGTATTCAGTATTGGTGTCTTTGAACTATATCAATAACAGAGATCGAGTTATATAGATGCCCATTCATGAATTCGTGAATAGAAGTATCATATGGTGACTGGGAAAAATGGAAACTAGCCAGTTATGGCGAAAACTCATTGAATAACCCTCGCATGTCATACCGCTGTATTGGGAATTTAAGAACGTTCTTTGAGTTTATATATATTTATAAATTACTAATGTGCTCTAATGGGTTTTTTTTGGGGGGGGGGGGGTATTTAATTATTAATTAAAAAAATTCTTTTTTTGTAGAGGCTACAAATGTGACCACGGTGTCAACAACAGTTTCTTCTGATGTAACAACGCAACCAACGACTCACAACTTGACAACTAAAAATCACAACACAACAACACAAATGGTCCCTCAAAATGGGACAACTGAACAGACGACCCATATGACAACTGAAGCAACAACCAACATGACAACTGAAGCAACAACCCATATGACAACTAATTCGACAACCCACATGACAACTGAAGCAACGACCCTGAACATTACATCACAACCGCCACACAACATGACAACAGAACCATCACACAACATGACAACTGAACCGCCACGCAACATGACAACAGAACCGCCACACAACATGACAACAGAACCGCCACACAACATGACAACAGAACCGCCACGCAACATGACAACAGAACCGCCACATAACATGACGACTGAACCGCCACACAACATAACAACTGTACCCTCGAACCTGACAACAACTGAACCATCCAATATGACGACGCCTTCGCACTCAACTATGACGTCACATCCTACTCAGAAGCCGACCCCCTCGTCGAGTAATAGTAAATTCAGCGCGGGGTCCTTTGTCGGCGGAATAGCTGTCGGTATCGTGATAGTAATCATCGCTGTAGTCGGGATATATTGTTACAGAAGAAAGAAACAAAGTGATGAGCTGGGTAGCAATATTCAATACAAAACCATGCCTGATTGATACAAGATTGTGTTATGTTAATATATAGCATGTGCATGAAAAAATCAGCTTGCTGATATGTGTATGAGAGAGAGAGAGAGGGGGGGGGGAGAGGCAGCACCTACCTGGAGAGAGAGAGAGGGGGGAGAGGCAGCACCTACCTGGAGAGAGAGAGAGGGGGGAGAGGCAGCACCTACCTGGAGAGAGAGAGGGGGGGAGAGGCAGCACCTACCTGGCCTTCTGCGTGTGTGTATGAATATAAGCTGGTCATACTAGTTATTAAAAAGAAGCATTTTTCAATTCAATAACTATTATATAAAGTATGTTGATACAAATAGCTATATGCATCCATTTTAGATTCGTTTTAGAATTAATACCCATTGCTTTGAGCAAAATTAGAATCCTATGCAGCTTCCTTAACCAATGCAGTTTGAATACAAGTTTTACGTCTTTAGGTGTTTTTTTAAGAATCACTGTTATTTTCAAGAACCCGCATTACGAATCGTTCATTAAGTAATCAAAACATTGTTTCACATCCTTATATTTGAACAGCTGATTGTAAATGTATTGTTTTTCCTCTTCGGTTTTACTTTTTACTTTGATCAGTTTTTCATGCTACATTGTATGGATGTTGTTATTACATGCATGTTGGAATAAATTTTTCATTTTTGATATTTATAAACCTTTTCTTTTGGGGCCAGCTATTTTAGATAGGTTTTGACAGGAGACACCTACTTTCTAGGTTTAGTTACATTTAAAATCTTTAAATACGAGTGACATTTATTGTTGTTATCCTTTGGTTTCTTTCAGTAGGTATCATGCATAAATGGCAATCTAATTTTATGTACAGTGTATCAGTGAAATGCATGTTTAAAGTGAATTGCTAGCTATTGTTATATGTAACTGAATGTAAAAATACGACGGATATAAAGAATAAAACTACAGAACATACCCCAAAATTGTAGTATTTTGGCTTAACGCTTATCTTCCGTATTTCAAAGAGAAAATCAGGAAAAAATAAGAATTTCCTTAGGCATGCCCAGATAGATGTGGACTTAATTAACAACAAATAAATTTCCATGTCAAATAATGTAATCATTTTGTCAATTAACTAGTATTTTTGACACTGTAAAATTTACAAGGATTTTGCCCGACTAGATTTCCATAGTTTACTTGTTTTATAAATACCACGAAAACATATGACGTCAGCAAAAAAATCAAAAGAGCAACTATGCATGATATTCAATGACCTTCTGAACAAATAATAAATGATATGTGAGTTAAAATCATTTTAAAATAAGGAGAATTATTGTTTGTATGTGTGATAAATAACAAACATCTCAATTATTCAGTCTTGAAGCAATTTATTACAAATTAACCGTAATGCCACGAAAACTCATGGTTCGAGGGTAAACAATGCTGAGCTTTGTATATAAATTTCCTCAAACAAAAAAGTATATTCTACTTCCTAAAAAAAAGAATTCATTTGTTTCCTGCTCATGTTTTTTTTTTTTTCCAATTTCTAAATAATTTAACAATATGGTACATTTTAATCTTGAGAAACTACTGTAGATCACTTAATTTTCGCGACACCATATTTTCGCGAGATAGTCATTGACTCCTGATTAGCGAGACAAAATTTTCACGAATTGTGGTAATTGCTCTATATAATCTTAAGGAATACTATTATACGCGAGAACTATATTTTTGCGAGCACATTGTTTTGCGTAATTACGCGAAAATAAAGTTCTCGCGAATAAAAATTGATTTACAGTATTCAGTATTGGTGTCTTTGAACTATATCAATAACTGAGATCGAGTTATATAGATGCATGGTCATTCGATCATTCGTGAATAGAAGTATCATATGGTGACTGGGAAAAATGGAAACTAGCCAGTTATGGCGAAAACTCATTGAATAACCCTCGCATGTCATACCGCTGTATTGGGAATTTAAGAACGTTCTTTGAGTTTATATATATTTATAAATTACTAATGTGCTCTAATGGGTTTTTTTTGGGGGGGGGGGTATTTAATTATTAATTAAAAAAATTCTTTTTTTGTAGAGGCTACAAATGTGACCACGGTGTCAACAACAGTTTCTTCTGATGTAACAACGCAACCAACGACTCACAACTTGACAACTAAAAATCACAACACAACAACACAAATGGTCCCTCAAAATGGGACAACTGAACAGACGACCCATATGACAACTGAAGCAACAACCAACATGACAACTGAAGCAACAACCCATATGACAACTAATTCGACAACCCACATGACAACTGAAGCAACGACCCTGAACATTACATCACAACCGCCACACAACATGACAACAGAACCATCACACAACATGACAACTGAACCGCCACGCAACATGACAACAGAACCGCCACACAACATGACAACAGAACCGCCACACAACATGACAACAGAACCGCCACGCAACATGACAACAGAACCGCCACATAACATGACGACTGAACCGCCACACAACATAACAACTGTACCCTCGAACCTGACAACAACTGAACCATCCAATATGACGACGCCTTCGCACTCAACTATGACGTCACATCCTACTCAGAAGCCGACCCCCTCGTCGAGTAATAGTAAATTCAGCGCGGGGTCCTTTGTCGGCGGAATAGCTGTCGGTATCGTGATAGTAATCATCGCTGTAGTCGGGATATATTGTTACAGAAGAAAGAAACAAAGTGATGAGCTGGGTAGCAATATTCAATACAAAACCATGCCTGATTGATACAAGATTGTGTTATGTTAATATATAGCATGTGCATGAAAAAATCAGCTTGCTGATATGTGTATGAGAGAGAGAGAGAGAGGGGGGGGGGAGAGGCAGCACCTACCTGGAGAGAGAGAGAGGGGGGAGAGGCAGCACCTACCTGGAGAGAGAGAGAGGGGGGAGAGGCAGCACCTACCTGGAGAGAGAGAGGGGGGGGAGAGGCAGCACCTACCTGGCCTTCTGCGTGTGTGTATGAATATAAGCTGGTCATACTAGTTATTAAAAAGAAGCATTTTTCAATTCAATAACTATTATATAAAGTATGTTGATACAAATAGCTATATGCATCCATTTTAGATTCGTTTTAGAATTAATACCCATTGCTTTGAGCAAAATTAGAATCCTATGCAGCTTCCTTAACCAATGCAGTTTGAATACAAGTTTTACGTCTTTAGGTGTTTTTTTAAGAATCACTGTTATTTTCAAGAACCCGCATTACGAATCGTTCATTAAGTAATCAAAACATTGTTTCACATCCTTATATTTGAACAGCTGATTGTAAATGTATTGTTTTTCCTCTTCGGTTTTACTTTTTACTTTGATCAGTTTTTCATGCTACATTGTATGGATGTTGTTATTACATGCATGTTGGAATAAATTTTTCATTTTTGATATTTATAAACCTTTTCTTTTGGGGCCAGCTACATCATGTACATGTACCGCATCTCTTTTCAGTTCGATAATATGAAGAAATTTCTCTTGTAATAGTCAGAAATGTAAGTTGCTGCAAATTGGACTTTGGCGAAAATACAAAATCATATACTTAAAATTGTATTTCAAGAAAATTGTGTATAATTTATTTATCCCATGATCACATTTTTATCCCGTGGAAATCACTCATGGGATATTTTTTGATATCTCTTAGTTGTGACATCACAATGGGTTTACGTGAGAGTGATGTAAGTAAAATAAGGTAAACATATAGGATCTTGAAGTTCCATGGTGTGTGACTGGATAAGATTTTTACCCAAGGAGCTGTCCCCCAGCCTTCGTAAGGGGATAAAACACACAACTCGTTGGATAAAAATATTTTTCCAACTAAAATTATCATCATCAAAATGGAATTACATCGTTTGATTATATATTACGTCAAGAAACACGCATCGTCATAACACTGAACAACATAGTGAACGGTAGGCAGGGGATGCTCACTCCATCATGGCACCTGATCCCATCTCTGATGTTTTGGAGGTCTGTGTTAGCTCCGCTCCTATATTGTAATGTTAGATGGACTTTTGAGCTCGAATACTATACGTTATCTCCGCATATTTATCATTTCACTGAAAATAATGACGATGAGATGTGATGGCACGACGATGCAATGGCGCAATGGCACGACAATGAATACCGCTTCATCGTCATCGTACCATCGTGTCATCGCTATCGCTCCATCATGCCATCGCACCATCGTCATCGCATTATCGCACCATCGACATTAGACTCGATGGTGCGATGATGCCATGGTGAATTGCATGGCCCTATCCGGATTCAATACTAAACACAATAATTTTTTTATCATGATTTAATTGATGAAAAATTGTATAATGATACATGTATGTACAAATAAGTGATAATACACAACGAAAACGGTATATCACAGAAGGATACAGGCACGGATTGTCTGCCCCTGTATGTCTCTATACTGTCAGATGTTAACAACAGCGTCCCCCCTTTGGCCCCTCATTAGAACTGGAATTTAAGGACCCCACAGTCAGTGATCTTGATGTCTTTCCTTGGCCGTTCATTCATTGTCTCTTGTTCCTCCATTTTCTTAAGAGTTTGTGTGCCCTCAATTACTTGCCTAAAAATTAATAATGAAAAAATTCGTTAAATATGCCTCAAAAGTTGATGTACAAAAATACGTTACATGTGCCACAGTATAGTTATGTAGAAAAAATGTCAAAAAGGTCACAAAATTAAAATTAATAACAAAAATATATATAACAGTGATCGCAAATATACATGTTTGTCACAAGTGCCTAAATTTTATATAACAAATATGTCACATAGAGTTCAAAGGTTAATGACTGTACGCAAATAAGTCAAATGTGCCTCAAACAAAATGCTTCCTACCGATGTAAAACCATGAAAGTAATTTTTTCTTTAATATAACATATATAACTTGCATATATATTATATAATAACTAAACATTGCAATTTTCAAATCTATTAATATTTAATTGTTTTCAACTTTTTGCTAAAGTGAAAGGTATACGTAGGATGTGGGGTAAAGACAAATACATAATTACTATTCTGGTTGAATACTAATATTGACTTACCCAAAAGCTACATATTTGGTGTCCATCCACTGAGTGGGTTCTAGTGTGATGTAGAACTGGGAGCCATTCGTGTGGCGCCCTTTGTTGGCCATTCCTACCATACCACGTCTGGAGTGGGGCACGGCGAAATTCTCATCTGGAAATAAAACGGCTAGGGTTAATTTTCAATTTCTACAAGCCTGACAACGGTAAATTAAAGAAAGAGTCACATTATATTATTGAAAGCTTTTATCGTGTTTATTTGTAAAAATAAAATTGTCAATCCAGAAAAAAAAAACGAATACGGAATAAAATTATTAGTGCAGTTAATTAAAAACATCAATTTTATTCTGCGTTATTCACATGCAATTGTAATACTTTTAAAAAAAGTGATCAATTTTTAACTTATTGAGGACGTTTTTTTTCGAAATATACGTAATTTAACTTTTCCCCCAGCCCTATAACTTTTAATGAATTCAACTTCTATTGGCTTGTTACATGTAGTATCATAAGTCATTTCTCAACAATTCTGGATCTAAGATTTTTAAATTCTGTAATATATTAGCATGATTTAAATAAAAGAAACATTCTAGCACTGAAAAATTTACGCACAAAACCGAAAAACAAATGCTTGTGATTTAAAGCAATATGAGCTGCATGTTTGACATCGGAAATTGTAAATTGCAAATTTGTGATTAACTAATTAAATGACAGAAAAATAAAAATAATTTATAAACTTCTGTTGTTCATATTAGTGATGGAAAATTTCTTTATTAGCTTTGATTGAAGCAAAATTGAATTATTGTCGTCCTGTACAATAATGATTTCTTATATAAAACAGTATATTCGGTTGTACAGAAATATTTCTTTTGAAACATTTTAAAACTTTTTGGGGGGGCTTATTGGTCACAAGGATTTAAATTACATACAAATTAATCATAAAAGCACATTTTACCAGCAAAATAAAATTTTCGAAGATACAGCTCATATTGCTTTAAATATGATACTATGAGGTGAATTTATATGTATCGGTGGTCGCACATAAATGATGTATTGAGTATGAGAACATAAGTATATAAATTCGGGCACTAGTATCTTCCCCGACATTTATCACTTCTAACATCCAAATTGCTTTAGAGGACTATGAGACCAAATTGAAGAAGTTTTTCTTAAGGAAGTTGAAACGCCACCCCCCCTTCCCACAAGTTTTAAAAACAATGCTTTGTCAATGCGCTTAACTTTGAACATTTAGAAAATATACATTGTTTATTGGAGGGGAGATGATTAAGATAAATGTTAATTGTACATGAGAAATGGAAATGGCATCATAGGGTGGAGACTTGTTGTATATCTTGTCATATACATGTAAACTGTATTTAAAAATGTCTCGTACAAAAGTCAATTACGTATTGATTTTAAAGTGGTGAAACGGCGAGATTAAAAGGAAAGAGAAAACAGAAGGACCTTTGAAATCAGAACAAATTAGCAATTGCAGCTGAGGAGACTTGTACGCTGTAACACCGCAATTTTATTTCCGTCAACATCCAAATTGCTTTAGAGGACTATGACACCACACTGAAGTAGGTCATTCAGAACTTTTAGTGAAACATCGAAGAAAAACTTTTTACTAGATTTTAATCAAAACTTTAAAACTAGTGCTAATTGTAACGGGAACCGTTACAGATGTTCCCCAAACGCTCCCCAACTCCCTTTCGGTGCCATATTCCCTGTAAGCGTCATTAAATAACACAAACTCTGTGCATTTTTGACTTTAACAACGTTTTTCCAGAAGGATACCAATTATATTCAATTTTTAGCATTTCACCAAAGCGTGTGAATGCATGTGCGTTATGACCATATCATCTTGTCTTTCAAGAGTAGTTTTAGATATACTCGTTTCAAATGCACGCACGTGCGTGCACGTGCATGATAATCATACCTTCTTGTAGGAGTCCCTTACATCTATCTATGTTCTAAATCCCATCCTGTTTGGTTGAAAAACAAGGGAGTTATAGCCATTTAAAGTTTCAGCCAATCAGATTGCAGCACACGTGCATGCGCGTAATTTCATGATTTTTTTAATATCATTTTGTAGGATATCCTACTGCATGAATATATTTTAAATTTCAAAGAATTTCTTAAAAAAAACAAAGGAGAAATAGCAATTTAAAGTTTCAGCCAATCAAATTGCAGCACACGTGCATGCGCGTGATTTCATGATATTTTTTCTATATCATTTTGTAGGATATCCCAATGCATGACTATATTTTAAATTTCAAAGAATTTCGTCAAAAAACAAAGGAGATATAGCCATTTAAAGTTTCAGCCAATCAGCTTGCAGCACACGCACATTCGCATGCTTTCATGAAAATTCTTATATATCATGCGGTAGATCATTATAATGTAGGACTATGTTCAAAATTTCAAAGGATTATGACAAGAAACAAGAAAGTTATTGATACTTTAGTTTCAGCCAATCAGAGCAAAGCGCACGTGCATGCGCGTGAAATCTTGCTATTTTGACCATGCTATCTTGTCTATACTACTAATGTATCCTTACATTATGAGTTTCAAAAAATTTTATCAAAAAATAGAAAAGTTACGGCAATATCCATTATATTGGTAATTTCACCTAATGCACGTGTGCGCTCTTGCAAGCACGTGCACGCAAAATGACCTTTGTTTGGCAACTCTACATAACATGCCTACTAACCCTAAAAAGGTTTCACCTAAGTCGGATGTGTAGTTTACAAGATCACTCGTGGACAAAATTTTCCCAGGAAGAAGAAAAAAAATAATAATAATAATAAGAAACAGAGTAAAAACAATATGTTCCCCAACTTCGTTTGGGGAACATAATAACTGTTGGGAATATATCACACTGCTCAACGCGTTATCGGCTACTCGGTTGTTATCGGACACTCGGTTAATAACAATTTTGACAGGTTAGTAAATTATTTTTAAAAAACTCTGTTAAAATAGAAACAGAGAATATTCATTGTGCTTTTTGTAAACAGAAATGAATACCGATACAAAATAAAGCCTCGATACGTACTAGTATAGGATTTGTTAGCCTATGGAAGACTTTAAAAGTCAAATTTATAATAATTGCAAGTTTTTCTCCGAATGGCATTGCTGTAAATACCTTTTTTTTTTAAATTCTTATGTTTACCTTGCCTTAATGGTTGTCCACTAGAAGACTTCCTAAGAATCTTACGAATATGTAATTAAAGAGCAAAAAGTGCCCGAGTTTAATTCTCAGTATGTTATCGGAAATACGGTTGAATAATGCACTTTGTTATCGGATAACTCGGTTTTGGTTATCGGAAACAAAGGTTGTCATAAATTAGGGAAAAACGCAAAGAAACGACTGAAATCCGTAAGAAATCAAAATATATAAAGTGGCTGACAGGAAAATCCAATTTTGGGCTATAATTTGCTTCTTTTAAGAATACGTTCTTTTTAAAAATGGGTCTTTTTTGGCATTTCTCACTGAAATCTGCATGATCTTGACATGTTTGAAAATATGATACGTTTTAAATTTCATTTCAAGGTAGCGAGGTCGCCTGGTGGTGCAGTGTTTAGAGTGTCTGCTCTAGAGTCGCCAAGTAAGGAGTCGATCCTTACGTCGAGGGTTCGTATCCCACAATGGGACGTCGCAGTAGGTGCTAGCACAAAAAAAGATCCCTCACTGATCAATGGCCCTAAGTGCTGAGTATATGACAAATTTTGAAGCTCTCCGCCAGCAAGTGATGGCCTCTCCATATGACTTGAAAATTCTCAGGAGGGCGTTAAAAAAGTTACACATACATTCAAGTTGCTTCACACATGGCGAAGGAACAGTTGCTTCCCATTTTTATCTACTTGGGTCAGTCGCCGCTAAGTTTCAAACTCACAACCTTTCGAACGCGAATACATTTATCAGTTTGGTATATACATGCAAAATAATTTAAACTCAAGGGTGGTTAGATGAATTTCTAAATAGGTAGTTAGACCAAAATATATGACGAAAATTCAAAATTTTGACTTTAAAAAAAATTGCAAAATCGTAAATACGGATCTCTAAAACATCGGAGGTTGTTTAACGTACCAAGAAGGAATAAGAACCCCCTGATGAACAGTCCCATCCTGCAGTGTGCTCAAATTCAATGTGTAGATAGCGCTAATGCTCGGATGGATGGGGGGGGGGGGTGCTGACATGAATTTTGCATTGCTATTGGATGTTTATACTAAATAAAAAAATCTCTGCCCCCCCCCCCCCTTTTGTAATTGAAAACAGCAAATACCTGTTTGTAGAAAAAGTTAAACATACGAGGAAGTGAACTGAATCAATGAGCCCCTCCTCCTAAATAGGTATTTTTAACGGTTGGAAAAGTTATGTACTAGTATTTTTTTTTATCAAAGTGTTTCTAACACAATAAAATTCCAGTCGGCGCCCTTAACTTTATTTATATATTTTTTAAAGTATTTTTTTCTGGACCATGCTTTTTGTTAAAGGATAGTCTCTTTTATCTATACTACATATCCAAATTACACTGTATAAAAAAAGAATTAAGAATTATTATTTTTCTTTAATGTTGAGAGCTGTCTTATTGACACAAGATTACATGATCAAGTATTAGAAAAGTTCTATAAACTGGGTGATTCTATTTTAAGCTTATAATAATGGGTAACGTTCTTCTGCGGTGCAACTTAAGTCCTGATGTCACAACCACAGGCACTTGTTTCATATACAGGGCATCCCCTCTTAAGCCATACCTGCTATATATGTGTAACTGTGACGTGAAAATACGATTGACATTACTGGACCAAACAAAAAAAAAAGTTCCCCGGGGATCATGGGGGAAATTGAACTTTATTTTTTTTTTTTTAAAATAACGTAATACCTGTAAATTATATCGGAAGACTAAAGCAAAATTGTTATGATTAATTAAACGTGATATATTTACGTTTGAAACTGCCTGAAATGGTCTCCAAGGGGTTATTTGAATGGAAAACAAATAAAATGGTTGAACTGATGAGTAGTTCTATTATAAATTTATAATTATTTATCTTATTTTTATACATTTATATCAAAACAAACTTTTACGTAAGCTATTTTCAAGGATTGGCAGATTATATTGGAATTTTCCAATCTATTTATGAAGCTAAAGGTAAATTTTTGACCTGAGTTTCCGATAACGTACACCCGTCAAAAACCGAAGTATCCGGCAACATCAACCGAGTTGACGATAACATGTTTTCAACTAACGAGACATTTTAAAAGACTGTTTGCTAACCCTTAATCTGGATTTTTATTCTCAGTTTGCGGATATTAAGGTATCTGATTGTCCATAGAATAAATAGATAAGTTTGTATGAGAGAATAAACTTATTTTGAATTCTACAAAAGTTAAAATGTGACGACACAGTCTGAAATTTTTGTAAAATATCATTTGAAAGAGCTGTTGATCTTTTAAAAGAGAGTGATTTGCTTTGTGCTTTCTGCTGCTGTAAGTATAATCAATTATCTGTCATAAATTACAAAGTTTGTTTGCTGAAATACAAATTTAACGTTGAAATATGAAATTTAAAATTACCCACATTTTCTAAACAATGCTTTTTTTGAACCGAGTATCCGATAACAACCGAGTAGCCGATAACGTGTTGAGCAGTGTGCCTATATCATATAAATGTATATTGAAGTAAACGGGAAAGCCGTATGTACATGTACGTACCTTCAAAGACGTATCCAAATATAGACTCCCCGCCATTTCCCCGTCCGTGGTAAATGTCTGAAAAATGAAAAAACGTTATTTCTGTACACCAGTTTGGATTTAAATGGTACCAGCTACCAATAAACTACCTGGTCCAAAACTTCTAAATTAAATATACTTTGTATGGCTACCATTATATGTCAAACTTTTTGTCTCTCACATTGAATATTAAACATAGGTAATCAGAGATTACAGAGCTCACCTCAACGAATGTTGTCTTTAAGTAAGGCAAAGTCACACAATTAACCAACAAAAAAGTGTACATTCCAAAAAAGAAAATATTTAAGCAATTCTGATCTGATACTTTGAAAAAGACCTACATAAAAAATTTAAACTAGTTCTTCTTAATGAAAATGTAATCATAATCCAGCATCTGAAGCAAATTTGAGAGTTTTCATCTCTTGATGCAACATTTGTGCAAGTTTGGTTTATACTATGTTATATGAGCCTTATAGGTTTTTGGTAATAGACCTGCAACCATAACTTTTACCTGGTCTATTATCTGAAAAATGTATGTCAAATTCAGCATCCGAAGCAAGTCCATTAGTGTGCATCCTAAGATGTATCGTCCATGCAAGTTTGCTCATTATGGGGCTCATAGTTAATTGGAAATGAAACATGTATTAAAAACTAACATTTTCAGTCATCCACAAAAAGTAGGTCAGATTCAGCATCTGAAGCAAGCCTGGTAGTATGCATCCTTAGATGTATCATCTATGCAAGATTGGTCATTAAAGAACTCATAGTTACTTGGAAATGAAACCTGCACCAAAAACTTTAACCTGTTCACTCAACCAGAAAATGTAGGTCAGATTCAGCATCCGAAGCAAGCCCAGTAGTGTGCATCCTTAGATGTATCATCCATGCAAGTTTGGTCAACATAGGGCTTAAAGTTACATGCAAATGAAACCTGCACCAAAAACTTTAACCTGTTCATTCAACTGAAAAATGTAGGTCAGATACATCATTCGAAGCAAGCCCGGTAATATTCATCCTTAGATGTATCATGCATGCAAGTTTGGTCAATATAGGGCTTAAAGTTACTTGCAAATGAAACCTGCACCAAAAACTTTAACCTGTTCACTCAACCGGAAAATGTAGGTCAGATTCAGCATCCGAAGCAAGCCTGGTAGTATCCATCCTTAGATGTATCATCCATGCAAGTTTGGTCAACATAGGACTTATAGTTACTTGGAAATGAAACCTGCACCAAAAACTTTAACCTGTTCACTCAACCGGAAAATGTAGGTCAGATTCAGCATCCGAAGCGAGCCCGGTAGTATGCATCCTTAGATGTATCATCCATGCAAGTTTGGTCAACATAGGGCTTATAGTAACTTGGAAATGAAATCTACACCAAAAACTGCACCAAAAATGTTAACCTGCTCCAAAAACATTAACCTTGTCATTCCTTTGCTGAAACTGCAGCATCTGAAACTTTGAATGGTAACTGAAATGAAACACAGTAGAACCATCTTCCATGCATGTCTAATCAATATAGGACATAAAAGTACTTAAAAAGAAAATTAACTGCTCCAAAAAACTTAACCTTAACCTGGGACGCCGACGCCGACACCGATGCCGACGCCGAGGGTATTACATAAGCTCCCCCAACTTCGTTGAGGTGAGCTAAAAATATAAGCTAAAATTCCTGGAATTTGAAAGCCTTACTGTAAACTAACACAATCATATAAGGCATGTAAATTAAGATAGCAAAACTTGGTATTTCTTCTGACACAAACACCATGCCGTTTCGCATTCACTCCTTTTCACCATTGTATATATATGTTTATTTACCAATCAAGGGCCCTTTTTTCAGCACTATAATTTTTTTGTAGTTTCCATAGTACATGTATAATTTCTCTACGATGCTTTTTGACTGAAATTTTTGTAGCAATAAATATTACATTTCTAGTTCGGATTTTTATAACAGATATTATTTTGTCCAATAGTACTGTATAGCAAAAAAAAAAAGCTACTTACCTACCTACCTTTACACACCTTCAAAAATGTGGGTCGTAGTACATCAAACCAAAATATATTTAATGATGGCCTTGAAGCCATATTCTGACTTTATGACTTAATACCACCCCCTTGGTTCCACCCCTTTCTGACAATTCTGTGGAACAGTGTGTTGAGATAATGTAGTGTGTTGTCTATAAGACTTACCACCCCCTTGGATCCACCCTTTCTGACGATTCTGTGGAACAGTGTGTTGATATAATGTAGTGTGTAGTCTACATGACTTACCACCCCCTTGGTCCAGCCCTTCCTCACAATTCTGTGGAACAGTGTGTTGATCGAGATAATATAGTGTGTAGTCTATAAGACTTACCACCCCCTTGGATCCACCCTTTCTGACGATTCTGTGGAACAGTGTTCATATAAAGTAATGTGTAGTCTTTATGACTTACCACCCCCTTGGATCCAGCCCTTCCTCACAATTCTGTGGAACAATGTGTTGAGATAATGTAGTGTGTAGTCAGACTCTGATTTTCCTTTCTCTCCTGTACACAAGGCCTTAAAATTCTCACACGTCCGTGGAACAATGTCGGAGAATAACTACAAATAACATGAATAAGCTGTCAAGAAGGTCACTGTTTACAAACATCCTTATGCATGTAGATTTCAAGGGAAAACAAGAGGCCCATGGGCCACATCGCTCACCTGAGCACTGTGGCTAAGAAAAAGTAGAAATTGGTTTATAATTAAATACTTTAAATCCGAAAGTAGTCCACTGACCAATTTTGGCTTTGCTATTCTTCGTAAGATGATTTTTTTAAAAGAATTTTCCTATATATGCCTATTTAAAACTTTGATTGGCCATTGTAGCCCCGCCCTACCACCAAGGGTCACGATTTGAACAAACTTGAATCTACACTACCTGAGGATGCTTCCATACAAATATGATCAATTATGGCTTTGTTATTCTTGAGAAGAAGATTTTTAAAGAATTTTCCTATATATTTCTATGATGTAAAACTTTGGTCGGCCATTGTGGTCCCGCCCTACCCCCGGGGGTCATGATTTGAACAAACTTGAATCTACACTACCTGAGGATGCTGCCATATAAATATGATCAATTATGGCTTTGTTATTCTTGAGAAGAAGATTTTTAAAGAATTTTCCTATACATTTCTATGTTAAACTTTGGTCGGCCATTGTGGTCCCGCCCTACCCCCCGGGGTCATGATTTGAACAAACTTGAATCTACACTACCTAAAGATGCTTCCATATAAATATGATCAATCATGGCTTTGTTATTCTTGAAAAGAAGATTTTTAAAGAGTTTTCCTATATAATTCTATGTACAAATTTGGTCGGCCATTATGGCCCCGCCCTACCCCAGGGGGTCATGATTTGAACAAACTTGAATCTACACTACCTGAGGATGTTTCCCCATAAGTTTCATCTTTCCTGGCACAGTGGTTCTTGAGAAGAAGATTTTTAAAGAATTTTCCTATATATTTCTATGTAAAACTTTGGTCGGCCATTGTGGACCCGCCCTACCCCCGGGGGTCATGATTTGAACAAACTTGAATCTACACTACCTGAGGATGTTTCCCCATAAGTTTCAACTTTCCTGGCTCAGTGGTTCTTGAAAAGAAGATTTTTAAAACATACCACCAAATTTTCATTAATTCCCAATTATCTCCCCTTGAATGAGGGTGAGGCCCTTCATTTGAACAAACCTGAATCCCCTTCACCCAAGGATACTTTGTGGCAAATTTGGTTGAAATTGGCCCGGCGGTTCTTGAGAAGAAGATGAAAATGTGAAAAGTTTACAACAACGACAACAACGACGACGACAACGACGACAACGCCGACAACGACAACGAAGACGACAGACAACGGACAAATTGTGATCAGAAAAGCTCACTTGAGCCTTTGGCTCAGGTGAGCTAAAAACTGTTCTGGTCCAACAAAGGCTGCTTATCATAAATTATTTTAGTCCTACTTTCTGATTTGTATTTTGTTTGAAATTTCTATTTCGTAAAATTATTTAGAAAATATAAATATGATTTATTCAATGTAAAATTCAAGTTTTGTTTAATTTGATTTATATTAACCACGACAACCATTCCATGGGTACTTTTCCCCGGCTTTTTTTTTTCTTACTGTACCTCAATAACTAATCTCCCGGCTGGTTCTTCTCCAATAGAAACATCTAGGTAAACATAATCATGCTGAAAACACAAAATTATTATTTGAAAATTATGATCATTTAAATGCCAACATTACTTGTGATGAAATAAGGGCTTTAAATAATTTTTAAGGCTGAAAGCACCTTGATTTTTTTTTTTATATATGAGATAGCAAAGCAAACACTATAAATATTTTTATCACCACTGTGACAATATTACTGTGAAAAAATGGCTATGATTACATTTTCAGAACTGTATACAATGTACTCATAGTTAAAATGTGCATGAAAGCTGATATTTGTATTTTTTGAGTTTATGTTGAGATATTGTCTTACGTTTTTTGAGCTGAGATGTGTGAGATATTGTCTAACGTTTTTTGAGCTGAGATGTGTGAGATATTGTCTTACGTTTTTAGAGCTGAGATGTGTGAGATATTGTCTTACGTTTTTAGAGCTGAGATGTGTGAGATATTGTCTTACGTTTTTTGAGCTGAGATGTGTGAGATATTGTCTTACGTTTTTTGAGCTGAGATGTGTGAGATATTGTCTTACGTTTTTAGAGCTGAGATGTGTGAGATATTGTCTTACGTTTTTAGAGCTGAGATGTGTGAGATATTGTCTTACGTTTTTAGAGCTGAGATGTGTGAGATAAGCTTCTTCCATCAGAGTTTCATAAAGAGGAAGGGGGCGGAACTCTTCAAAATTAAAGTTGTCCTCGGCCCAGATGACGAAATCGTCGGGCCCCCCACCTCCTATGAGCATACCGTTACTGAAACAGATCGCCTTCTCCTCAAACGTCCAGGTCTCACCGCGTAATGCCTTAAAATACAGGTATTAATAAGAAAATGAACATTCAGTAGATGACATGCAGAGATACCGTGATACCGTATAAGTGGAAATATTAGTGAGATGCAATTTTAGCGATTTGTCCTTAAAATATGGCAATTTATTTTTAGCGAGAAATATTTTTTGCGATTTTAAATTGTTTACTAAAAAGCTATTACAAATTAAACACAGTTTATTTTTAGCGATATTTAATTTGAGCAATCTCAGCACCCTCGCTAATAATGCCAAAATTAAATCCTTGCTAAAAATTCTACTTATACGGTATTTAATGTGAGCATGTCACATCATGTGCTTTCTAATGTCATGACAAAATTATTATATCTATTCAATGGATGGAATATCCTACTTGGATAACTTTTCTTTAAAACAGATGGATTTCACAAATTGCTTAAATAAATATGATAATAGAGGGGGGCCGGGGGAAATAAAAATGAGAGACAAGGATTTGTTGCCTTTTTTAAAAAAGTACTTTAAAATAAACATAATATCAATAAACAATTCAAAATACTCTTAATCTAATACTCTGAGACTCACTTTTTTCTTGGCATCAATGAAAAGATCCCACTCAAATTCCAGCATTCCCTGTATGACTGCATCTTGGAAAATTTTAGGACTTTTCTTTATCAGCAGATCCTTGAGAAAAATGTAAGAAAATAATATTATTAACAAACAGATAATAAATTCGTTGGACTTAGTTACTTACTTGCAATGGGCCTAAATGATTAAAAGTTAATAACGTATCTCTCTCTCGGCTGCATGTCAGCCATGTGCAAAGCGACGAGACACGAACAGTTAATTAACATTTACAAAGGAACGTTCTGCTAAAAAAATTTTTGAAATAGCCATTCTAATGATAAACTACCTCTGCACAAAATCTAGCTCTCTGGAAGTTGACGTCGTTCAACAGTCCATAAATTTCTAGTCTTTGAACTTCTTTACCCGACATGATTGCAATAAATTGTTTGCCTTGGAAACCTTGTTTTCTTCCGGTAAATTAAAAATTTTATAGAATCTCGAGCCCGACCTTTTAAAAAAAATCTCTAAAACGATTTGCTTCCCTTTCATTAGGCCTGTGTATGCATGATGTTTTCTATTTGTGTCTGGATAAAAAAAAAATTTAATTTAAATTTAGCATTTCAAATTAAAAAAAAAAAAATCTAATCTTGAAACCAAGCACCCCGATGATTTGAGGAGATTTAAAAGCATGCTTGTGTAGATAAATTAATATATATAATTGTTTAAAGGACAATGTTCTAAACAGTTTGTCATAGCATTTTCTATGAAACTTTCACTGAAAGTGCACTGTCAGCTGACAATGATTCTAGGGAGGATATATATAGTCCATGTAATTCGGAGTTCAATCCGAGCGTCACGTCGGAAACCTAGTGATGGAGATCTACAGGAACGTACTATAGACCTCCATCACTGGGTCTCCGACGTGACGCTCAGTTTTATAAAGTAAGATTAATTCATAAACATCTTTCCAGAACACAACCGCCAAAATGAATAAAAAGAATATACAAATAGGTTTTAATATAAAATCAATTTATTTCTAAAAATATACTCTCCAGAACTAGCTTTATAAGGGACTAAAAAAAAACCTTTATATTTAAACTGGTGGGACGTGAAGCGAAGAGTTTATGACACATAATGTGCTAGACATTGAATTCATGTCGTAAAGATGAAAGGAAAGAGAAAATATACAGACGTCGTCCTTTAATTTACTGATGTCTACATCAAATTCTATACAGCTTGTTATTCTTGTCAGAACACAAATAGTAACCTGATCGCGACATTTTTCCTGGGTATTTCACGGGCACCTAACGCTATACTATGGAATCCGGATAGGGCCACGCACTTCACCATCGCATCATCGCACCATCGAGGTTTAGGTCGATAGTGCGATGAAGAGATAATGCGATGACGATGAGGCGATGGTGCGATAGCGATGAAGTGATGGTGCGATAGCGCGATGACGATGATGCTATGGCGCGACAATGCGATGACGATGGTGCGATAATGCGATGACGCGATGGTACGATGACGCGATGGTGCGATAGTGATGACACGATGATGCGATGACGATGGTGCGATAGTACGATGACGATGAAGCGATATTCACTATCGCTCAATCGTGCTATCGCACCATCGCCATCGCATTATCGCGCCATAGCATCATCGTCATCGCGCTATCGCATCATCGCTTCATCGTTATCGCACCACCGTTTCATCGTTATCGCGCCATCGCATTATCGCGCCATCGACCTTTAAGTTGATGCTCGATGGTGTGATAGTGAAGTGCGTGGCCCTATCCGGATTCCATACTATACCCCCACTCCTAATCTGCTAATATTGACACTCTAACCAAATATATAACATGCAATACTGACTTTATATTATTTTCTTTTCACAAAACATATTTACACCCCTACCAAATAAATCTCAGTGATTTATGTAGTATAGGAAAGAGTGATTATATTGTTAAGGTGATAAAGTTTACAGGTAATACTGTAACCCCAGTATCAGGGGAGAAATAAAGATGTTGGGTAATTGCTCAAAGTCCATTCTCGATGTCCAGAATTTACAATTACGGATAGTCGCATATTAGAAGTTAAAACTGAAAACCGTTTATTGAGATTATTCGGTAAGAATAAATCAGTACATGTACATGCTTCCATGCAGTTTTATAATTTTAGGACATTCTGATTTAAGATTATAAATAAAGAAATCTGAAAAGTTCACGGGAGCCCCCCCCCCCTTCACACCCTGCATGGCTGCTGTCTGCAAGCCTTTCTCTGCATATTATTTTTCATAACCACACGTAAAACACATTTAAGATTTATTATGCATGCGTTTTTGTGGTAGTACTACACACTGTGTGATATAACAGAGAATCCGGCCGGACCTAATTCTTGATGAACCTACAAATATCATAATCCAGCACAACAAACTCCAAGGCTTACTGTACGCAGATTAACCACCCGACATACGTGGATTTATTTCCTCCAACGTGCTGCGAGTTATACAACATTCTTAACCTTAATTAACCCCGATTTATTTTAAAAATATAGTGCAAAATATTTATAATCACGAGAGAGAGAGAGAGAGAGAGAGAATCGAAACGCAACTTCATGTTTTCAAAGATTTGATCAATTGATGCAAATGTGACGATAAATTAGCTGCATATGAACATGATGAATACGAGAATTATAACCTGAATCAGCGCAATTTTAACTCAAATATCAGAAAAATAAAATGATGAATATCTACAAATTGATCATGTGCGACTGAACACAAATTTAATTATTCATGCAAGAAAATATTGTAGGATGTGCGTGGGGGGAGGCGTATCAAACAACCCACCAGTCGATGTGTTACACATTTTGACTATTTAACTCATTTCAAGATTTTTTCATCACATGCACTATAAAAATGAACACTATTCAATCGTAAGATTTATTATTGGTTCTTTGTGAAAACAAGGAGTAACATTATCCATTCATACATTGACATCTGAATAAAAAATCCGGTTCTGTCACAGAATAATAAAACAGTAAGGAATGATTCAGCTTAAATAAAGGTAAAACAAAGCATGCTACGTCAATATCAAGGCGCGGATCTGAGAATTTCTTTTATATGATGTTCATGTGTTTATAATTATTATATTTCAACATGTTTAATGCACGATTGATTCGATCACGCTACACTTCTTCAATTAAAATGCAAGAAAAAAGTAATAATTTAAAAATCATGAACACAATTAAAACTACACGTACTTTGTATTAATTAAGTAAATACACATTAAAACTATAAATCATGAAACAAAAAAACAAAAAATCGATAATTTTTACTAAATAAATCAACATATAACTTTATTCAGAATGAAAAATGTTGTATACATCTAATAATATTGTCACAGATGAAAATGAACCATCCAACATTTTGACAATTACTTTGGACATTTTCAATTCAAAATTCTATATCTGTTATTTAATTTAATAAGTTGTCATAATTACTCCAATCTGTCAAGTTTATCTATTTAGAAATATTTAATTATCTTAATTAGCCATGAGTGATATGACCAGATGGACTGTGCTTTGTGTGACTTAATTATTGTTTATTTAAAATCATAATCTTTAACTCTACTTGTAAATCGAATTAACTTATGTCACGTTACTCAAACTTGTCAATTATCAAACTTGTCTATTAATACAATTTTTTTGTTAACATTCGGAGAGTTGGAATCGGGACGCGCTTGTCCCTGATATTGTCCGACCCGACGAGAAATAAAGGTCTGTAAATCGTAAAGCGGCTTTATCTTCATTTACTAAATAATCCACCCTAGTGGCTTTACTGACAAGCCCATGCATCTTACGCGAGGGTGTGATAAGTGGTGCAGATAACCGGGTACGACCCCCTCTCACAGCCAAGCGAGTTCTACCATTGATTCCCCTACCTGATTTAAACATATTTTATTGAACACAATCAATGGGATTGGACACAAGTTATTCCAACTTAGATTGTCCTCTCCAACACAAACAAAAATAACAAGAATATATACACGTGATGTACAAGCAAACAAAAAAAAAATACAATAATATAAAAAAGAGGAAGAAGAAGAAAAGTGGTGCAGAGAGATAAGAAAGGAAGGGAATGGGAGTGCATGGAAGAAGAAATAAAGGGGGGATTATAAAGGATACAAAATGGTTACGCTGGTTATTCATAAAATCTTTTTGATTTTTTAATATATTTATGCACAGCTTTAACAATATTGATATTATTTTGTTGACCCAATTCTGGGTCACCAAATAAGATAATGTCAAGGTCTATTGCTCCATTGTTATTCTGTATAGTGTGGAATAATTCCGTTCTAATTTCGGCATAATTTTTACAGTACAAGAAGAAGTGTTCAGTATTTTCATATATATATCCACATGAACACCGAGTGTTATCTGAAAGTTTAACTTTAAATAAATCAGACTTAAGAATACTTACATTGTGTCTTAATCTTGTTAAAATTGAGTTTGTTTTTTTATCACCATAAGAAAAATATTTTGGGGGAGGTTCACTTTTAAAGAGTCTTTTTTTGAAAGCATTCACAGTATCGATGTTTCTAATCTCTATAGGCAAAGCATTCCATAGTGATATTGTAGATGGAAAGAATGAATTTTGTAATAAGTTTGTTTTACATTGAGGAATAGAAATATTGTTGAAATTGCGTAAATCATAATGGGTAGTTTGTGAGACATCAGGAGGTAATAGATTTAATAAATATTCTGGTGCGATACCATGTTTTATTTTATACATTAAGCATAACTTTCTCTTTTCCCGTCTATAGGCTAGTGTTTCCCACCCTGTTTCATAATAAAGAGAATTGCGAGGAGCATAAATAGGTAGGCCAGTGACAATTCGCGCAGCTTCTAATTGTAATTTCTCCAGTCTGTCACAGTCAGTTGCGGAAATATTATCCCATACTTCTGATGCATATTCAAAAAGTGGCCTAATAAATGTAATATACATCTTAGTTAAAAAGTCTCGATTCAATGATAATTTCAATTTACGGAGAACTGCAATTTCTTTTGAGGTCTTTTTAATAATATTATCGATGTGATTTGTCCATTTACCAGAATTTGAGAACGTAAGTCCAAGATGACAGTGAGTGGAAGATGGAATTATCTCTTGATTGTCAAACTTAAAATGTAAATTAGATACCTCATTTTCTTTACAACCAAACATTAATATTTTGGTCTTACTAGGATTAAATTTTACAAGCCAGTTTTTTGACCATTCATTAATTTTTTCTAAATCATAATTAGTAAATATTTCTAAGTCCTGTATATTTTTAGAAGTATTTGACACAGATGTATCATCAGCAAATAGTCTAGAGAGACCGTGGAGTCCACATGGCAGATCATTAATATAAATTAGAAAAAGTAAAGGCCCCAGAACAGAACCCTGGGGAACTCCTGCTTTGGTTCTTCCAACAGAAGAACTTGATGATTTTATTTTAACCTGTTGTGATCGACTTGTAAGATAATCTTTTAACCATGCAAGAACTTCTCCAACAAACCCATATTTTTCTAATTTGTATTTTAAACCTTTCAACCAAACCGTGTCAAATGCTTTACTTATATCACAAAAAGCAAAACACGTGACTTCTTTATTGTCTAGAGCAATACAGATATTGTGATAAATTTCTATTAATTGGGTCACCGTTGAATGGTTACGCATAAATCCAGCTTGTAGGTTATATAATAGTTTGTGTGATACTAAATGATTATAAATGTATTTAAACATTACTCTTTCAAAAACCTTTCCAATACAACTTAACAAGGAAATTGGTCTGTAATTGGATGGGTTTGATTTTTCGCCTTTTTTGAACACAGGAACTACACTTGCATGTTTCCAAATACATGGAAATTTCCCAGTTCTCAAGGATTTATTAAATATTACTTCTAATGGGACAGCAATTTCTTTCCTTATTTCTTTTATTAAAATATGACTGAAGTTGTCGGGCCCGGAGGCTTTTTTAGGATCTAAAATTTCGATAATATCGACAATTTCATTTTCATTTATAGTAACATTTTCAAGTCTAGCCTCTGTCCTTGATTCGAATTCGGGAAGCTCTTTATCTGTATTGTCATTAGAGGAAACTTTACAAAAATACCTTCTACGAGAATTCCCCTAATTCAGAAAAAAAAGCATCTTTAATTTCGTACACGCCGCTATGAATCGCAGCCTTGGACCACAACGGAGACCTGTGGATTACTCCTTTCAGTGTCAATTTCCAGTTTGTGTCCGATGCGGAATGGTCCATGGACCCAGTTGCCGTGCTCAAATGGAGAAGTGTTACAGATGTAAGCGTCATGGTCACTATGCTAGAATGTGCAGAACTGTCCTCTCTTCCCCTATGAGGATGATCATGATGGCAAATACTAGTGCACCAATCCAAGAGCAACGTTCCGGTAGACGAAAGTCAAGAGACAAAGTTCGTTTAGAAAAATACATTGAAACCAAATCTCACCTCCGCGAATTGCCGTTCTACAATTTGAGAAATACCGCGTTCCAGGAAACCCTTAACATCCATCATGGACTTAAAACAGAAATTCAACAGTTACGTTTCAAAGTGAAAGAAATGGAAATAATGTATTCCGACGCAGTAAATGTGATTATTAATTTGGAAGAAAATTTTAATATACTTTCAACGAGACAGCCATCTGAATCTCACTCATCTATCTGCAATACCGCCGAAGATAAACTCATCATTTCAAAGTTGCAACAAGAAGTTGACCAAGCGCGCTTAGCTATATATTGAAACTCTACGGCTTGAAAAGTCATCTCACAAACAGCTAGTAGATTCAATAAGTGCTAACGTCCAAGAAGAATGGAGAGAAAACAAAGCAAGACTTCAAGAAAGGGACAACACCATTCTGACCCTGAAAACCGAAAACATTCAACTCTTGAACAACCAGGAATTGTATTTACAACGAATTCGTGAACTAGAAAACGAGCTTTATAATCGTTCCATCAAAATTCCAAATTACGGACAAAATCGGCAAAATATTCATTTCGGACATCAAATTTATTCAAGTGAACAAACCTCTAGTGTACATGTACCTATTCAAAACACGAGGCCGTGTTTTACTGGGGCAAGGGGATATTGTCACAGATGAAAATGAACCATCCAACATTTTGACAATTACTTTGGACATTTTCAATTCAAAATTCTATATCTGTTATTTAATTTAATAAGTTGTCATAATTACTCCAATCTGTCAAGTTTATCTATTTAGAAATATTTAATTATCTTAATTCCATGAGTGATATGACCAGATGGACTGTGCTTTGTGTGACTTAATTATTGTTTATTTAAAATCATAATCTTTAACTCTACTTGTAAATCGAATTAACTTATGTCACGTTACTCAAACTTGTCAATTATCAAACTTGTCTATAAATACAATTTTTTGTTAACATTCGGAGAGTTGGAATCGGGACGCGCTTGTCCCTGATATTGTCCGACCCGACGAGAAATAAAGGTCTGTAAATCGTAAAGCGGCTTTATCTTCATTAACCAATAGTCCACCCTAGTGGCTTTGCCGACAAGCACACGCATCTTACGCGAGGGTGTGATAATATTTTTGAATTCATAGAAAATATTTCACAGAAATAACTAAAAAAATTAATTTAACAACAAATGAACAAGGGATACAGAGTTAACTAGCTTCTGGAGATCATTTCGAGACATATCTAACTGTAGTAAATGTGGTATGCTTTAGATACGAAAAATTCAGATAAAATGAGCAATAAAAATCCGAGACATTTATAAAAAAAAAAAAAAAAAACTTGCTAGCAGCAAAAACTTCTTTTGCTCCTTTTAAATGAAAAACACAGTAAATACATGCAATAAATATACTATTCTTCACGTGAAAAAAAGGAACAAAAATGTCTCAAATATAGGATTGTGCAAGTGTGAAATAACGCAGCACCAATAAGCGTTACATCGCCGGAGTAACTTCTGCATAAATTACATAACCACCATTAGACACAAGGTGTCTCTTCAAGTCTTATTGTTCCGTATAATTGCGCATCAACAATATTACCCCAGAATGAAGTCCTAGGGCCAAGGACAGCATGTTGTGCACAGGGTGAACTAATTTTAAATGGCGATAGACACAAACATTCACAAAATCACACAATATATATCACAATTCGCTTTGAATATCATCCGAGATAATCACTCGTACACCCATGTCATATAATCCCAATAATCTTGTATAAATAATCGGCTTTAAGGTATCTTCAGAAAGAATTAAAGTAACATTCAACATTTATACATGCACGTAGTTGTGTTTAATGTTGTGTCATTTTATATAAATAATCCATAAATCTGAAAATTAAAGGATTATACAACAGTGTAGTTATATTTTCAGATAATCACTCAAAAGTCTTGCTCTCCTGTCTTTAATAAATAAAGTTACACGTATTTATTTGTATTTTATCTGTGACTATGATCTAGTCAGGTCGTTTTGTTACACTATCCACACCTTTCTATTCCACGGTCTCTCCCAAGCAATATTCCACAGTGTTACAATCCTTAATGTGGTACAATCTACATCAAAATTTTATAAATGGCTCTGACCTAGTCAAGTCGTTTCGTTATACTACCCACATCTTCACTATACCACCGTCTCCCCCACATTATATTCTACAGTGTTACTTTCCTTGATGTGGTACAGTCTACCCGTATCTTGTACTTGCTTCTGAGCTATCCTCACTAAATTCTGCTCCTCTCGCCTCACCAGCCTTTTAATCATGGCGGCTGTGGAGCTGAACGTGAACAAGTCCGCCCGCTCCTTCACACTGATATTGTGGTCAATCTCAATCACACTCTTCCCCTGTAGAGATTCTATAGGGGCATTGTTACTAGTGACCACCTTTCCTACCTCCGCTAAGGCGCTTTCCGGCGACCCCTTTAGGTTATTGTTAGTAATGGCGGGAAAATCTTGAGGACGCGCGTGAATTTCTTTGTAGGTGCACGGGACACAGACACAAGAGGAATTCACGACACTGTAAAATGATGTCACGATACTTCCGGTGGAAAGCCGGTAGAAGTAATGGTCGATTGAGGTTGGACGCACGTGTTGGACCCGGAGTTGGTTGTACTCCTGGGTCACAGAGAGGGTGCCGTGGTTCTCCCCGCACATACTACAGGGGCAGGTGGTGTACGACAGCCCCACGGATTTCGCCTCCACTTTCTCGTCTTTCAGCCTCCTCAACGAATAGTCAATCCCATTAAACTTTTCCACCATTTGGTCGTAGTTGGACATCAGTTTGATATGCTGTGAATCGTCGTCCTCTGTTCCGCTTCCGGTGGACTCCGTTAAGTTGAAGGAATCCGACACTTCGTTACAGACCGGACATTCCCAGACGGAGCCCCGCCGTGGGACCAGGTGGTTCCGGATACATTTATGACACAGGATGTGTCCACAAGCAAACGTATCGGGGGCACTGGACACTTCAACTGTCCTGTCATATTCAGACTGTAACCCTAGGTCCTTCACGCGCTGACCCCCCACACTGACGTCATACAGCCTGACAGGAGGCATGTCCACGTAACGTCACTCCCAAGGGCAAAATTCTCTTCAAATCATACCCACTTCTTCATTGAGAAAAATCTAAAACACAGAAAACATTCATAAACATCCATGGAATGAGGAACTCCTACGACTGAATGATTTCTTCGTCAGAGTCTAGAGTCTATCGATCCACGCTGAGGGCCGACAGATTGTACATATATAGATCTACACATAGAATCATACAGACCTTACGTAATACTGAAGTTAAACCCCTCCATGTTAGATATCCAGACTTAATACCCCCGCGACCTTAGTCCGGCTTGTCTGAGGTCGGTATCGGGCGGAAGCCCTCTAAGATCACAGTTTTCTAAGCTTTACCACACACACTCCATTAAACACCGACTGGTGAATGTTTAATTTCTGAGACGAAATCTTAAAAGTCTAGATTTCCTTTTCACAGGTAAAGATTGTACACATAAGCCCATGTCAACATTCGGGAAATATAATGTATACACAGGAGTCTTTACCTTGGCAGTCGATATAACAGAAAATTTGATGTGATATAGGTCTACATTATGAACTTCTGTAACTCCCAAAAACTCCGAATTGCACGTAACGCTCTACACAAGGTGGGAAAATGTCGCTAAATAATCGCCGGGGGCGGGGAGTCAAAGGTTAACTATCAAAGGATCCGCTTCTAATTAACAATGAACTTTTTTAAATTTCAACGCACCTTGTACAAAAAATTTAAAATCTCACCGACAGCTGATACTTTATCGAGTTTTATCTGTTGCATTAAATTAAACAGCTTGTCATGAATTCAAAGCAGTTTATAACTCGGCAATAAAGCTATATAAAGCTACTTAATCATTATTTTAATTTGTCCCGAGCCGGAGCGCAATACATATTTAGAGGTATAAATTTCATTAAAACCAGCTTGACATCATTATAAAAACAAGATAAGATTAAGTTAGAGCAAATAAAATTCATAAGAAAACAACATTGACCTTGTTTATGTCTTTTTATGTCAGTGTAAACTTTTACGGGTGATGTATCAAATATCAATTTAAAAAAAGTATCCTATGCATGTAGCAGAACACTTTTGATTCTAACCCTACCCCAAATTTTCTGTCTTATTAACATTTTTTTTTCTTAAACTTATGTTTTCTTAGTTCAATTTGAAAGAAAATATTGATTATGCATGTAAGAAAGATGTTTGGGGATATAGGGGTCAGATTCGAAAATGTAAATACACGGAGACAATGTCAGAAACCCCATCACATAATATTGATACACAACAGCTTTAAATTAAAAACTTTTAAATTAATGTTACGAAAAATTTTATACAGACGAATTCTCACGCAACCTTACATAAATTCAGGCATGCATCATTACAATGCGCACTGGCATTTTTTTCATACATGTAATTCACATGTAAACAATATCTCATTCACAGTGAACTGAAATGCATGAGAATCTTTTTTCTCTCTACACCAACGACCCTTTGACTGTAACTACATAACCTTTGCTGCAACATTCAACTCCTAACAACAAATCTCTGTCGGAATTCGTTAAGAAGTCGTAACAAAGGACTTAATTAAATTCAGTGAAAAAATATTTACATATTCTGCATTACATCTGTTGAAGGGAGAAAGTTTAAAGCCCTTGTATTACAAAGTTTACGAATCCAGATATTAAAATACAAGTCGGAAACATAGGGATAACTAAAATGGATTTAAATTGTTATTCAATGCAGCTTAATCTGGGAAGTATGCATTGAATGGCCAGTCATTTTTCATATGCACACAGATGGATTGCATTATTTTTTTAATCAACCATCCGTGATGTACATGTACGTACTACGTACTGTATTTAAAAATAAATCAAAATCTTTTTACTTCTTAGTAATATTGAACCAGCCAGTGTCCCCGAGATTTCAACTTAAGTAATACATAAGTAATTCATTTCATAATTAAATGGGGTTAACAATAGGTCAGCATACTTAACAAACGATAAAATAAAAACTAATTCCCCAGATTTCACACATTTCAGTATTGACTACATTATCCTCCGAGTCTACCTATATTTGACCCGACTGTGGCGTTAACCATTAAAACATCTCGGTAGACAAGAGAGGAAAGCGTTCCTCATTTTGTACACAGTCCAGATTTACGTTTGCGGCAAGGCATTGTTTTGTAAATTTACAAACATTGAGCATCATTTTTTTTTTCAATGAATGTGAAAAATAATAAATTGCAGTGGCGGAGTTAGACGGGGCATGTACAAGAGGGCACCTTTTATGTTTAAAATATACACAAGATTTCATAAATAATTTTTTGGCACTGGCTGTGGGTCGAATTTTCTTAACTTGGCGTAGTGTAGTAACCCCCCCTTCCGGTCAAGGAATTGTCATTCATACTTTTGAAACACATGATCCGAAAAGACGTTATGAATTGTATATTTCCGATCTGTAGCTCTCCCTTTTCGGGATTTTGAAAATTTCAAATTTCATTGTGTGCTTTCAGTTACATGTAGGAAATCATAAAATCTCCATTATGGATATTTTTATCCGGACTTTGAGTACAAGACTTATAATTAACAGGGACAGTATATGAAAACCCAAAATATTGTCAATAATTTTATTAAAAATGCTAATTTTTGATTTCTGTTCAGGGGTAAAAAATCAACTTCTGGTAATGGAATCCGCAACTCCTTAAATACCTTTGGCAAAGTAAAAGATTTGAAACTTTTTTGGTAATCTTAAATACGTATATTTTTGCACCTATTTTAAATTTTTTGTTTCTATTGACATATATTTTGGGTTTTCAATGAGACAAAACATGCATTGAATGGCCAGTCGTTTTTCATATATGCACATATATGGATTTCAATATTTTTTTTAATCAACCATCCGTGATATACATGTACGTACTACGTACTGTATTTTAAAATTTAAAAAAATCAAAATCTTGAATACTTCTGATAATATTGAAATAGCCACTGTAGATTTCAACAAGTAATACATAAGGTAATTCATTTCATGATTAAATGGGGTTAACAATAGGTCAGCATACTTACAAACGATAAAATAAAAACTAATTCCCCAGATTTCACACATATCAGTATGCTACATTATCCTCCGAGTCTACCTATATTTGACATGACTGTTTAACCATTAAAACATCTACGGTAGCAAGAAGGAATGCTTTCATTTTGTACAAGTCCAGATTTCCTGGCCAAGGGGACCAAACAAACACTGAGCATCATTTTTTTTTTTTTTTCTGAATGTGAAAAATAATAAATTGCAGTGGCGGAGTTAGACGGGGCGGGAGAGGGCACCTTTTATGTTTAAAATATACACAAGATTAAATAAATAATTTTTTGGCACGGCTGTGGATGCTTACACATAAGTTTCAAGATTCCTGGATCCGCCAGTAATTGTACATTCCGATGAGGACATAAATTTGTATTTCAAATCATTTTGTTTACAATATACATGTAGAATTAAATTCCAATATGGTGGCCCTGCCCCCCTTGAAAAGCGGGAGATTATATAATTTAAATCGGTATGTCCGTCCAGGTCTTCATATACGCTTTCAGCTTTCCTATCCGCAACTGGTTCATACCACAAAAGATTGCTTTTGTTAACCTATTTTTACTTTTATATATATTTTGGGTTTTCCAGAGCAAAACATGGACACTGCCATTATATATTCATATTGAAGGCGGGGGTATCATTTAGTGAGCTCATTGCTCACAGTACCTCTAGTTTAACTTTACATGTATCACTTGACTATAGCCTGATAATCATCGAAATATAACCGTAGACAACACGTAAAAACCTTAACTTTATATTTATAGTGAGATGAATACATATAAATGAACATTTTTAAAGTCACAATGATCTAGGATTTTGTGTGGCGGATTTCAGCGGGGTGGATCACAACATAAATCCAGTCTGTATCTCCGGATAACACTGTCTCTACATGTTTTAAACATTTAATCCCGTCACACTTGAGGATGAATACACGGGGTAAGTTTCAGCTTTCCCTGAGCGTGAAACTGAGAAGTCTGATTTTTAAAGAACCATTTGAAAAACCGGGATATCAGAATTTTAGTGTATCTTTCAGGTCATGTGACGAACCTGTTTATACATTTTAAGAAAATTGGATCACAAAAACAAAATATGCATATAGCGCAGTTTTGACAATTCAACTACACTGTAAAGCAAGTGCAGAACTGCAAAATGTGAGTGCCAGAATACAAAGGTTGTACATGTATCTATGATTTGTTTTTACTTTTTACGCAAGCGTCTAAAGTGTGGATTGATAGCCCCCCACCCCCTTTAATTAACAAAAATCTAATTAATAAATTCGATCAGTGCATACTATTAATGCAAGATATATTACTGTAGTCAGCGGCGGCTCACACAAATTGGTCCGACCAAAATAGTTCCATCATGATTAAGTAGATACAACATTATTGTTCATGATAAGAGTGAAGTTGTGTATGTCATACGTTAAAGAAATCAAAAAAATGTCAAAATATTACGGACGGACGGACTTTCCCCCCGAAATGCAAATAAAAAATATCAATATTCCTATGCTCGCTCCCTCCTCAGCCTTTTTTTTCATGTTTGATAACAGAGAATATTTAGGTCATTCTTTTATATTTTTCAATGAATTGATAATACTATATCAACAATTGTATTAAGTACATGTTTATAGTCCGTTAATTATCATACAATTTTGTGTAAAGAAAAAATTAATCATTCTGTGTGTGTGTTTTATTAAATGACATAAATTCAATCCCTGGCCGGATTCACTGTGTGTACATTTGGTAAACTGTAGGGTATAAAATGTGTAGCAACACGAGACTGAATACACCGGGTCACGTGTTGAAGTTCAGCATACCATTTCATATAGAACTTGAATTATGTAAGTAATTTCTGCGAGGATTACATTAGTATATTCCAGTAATTTTCAAAACAAAAAAAGGTTTTCAGTTTAGAATTTTCCGACCCGGTCCTGATTTAAACACAAGTTGTTGCAGATGCAAATGATAGAACAAACTATAGTTCAACCATGTCAACAGGGATTGTATAATTTTTATTAATCAGAATTCGTATTCATATGATCTAATTAAGAAAAGAAAACAAAATCGGCAAAACAAAACGTGTTTCTCCGAGCTCGCAGATGCGTTTGACAACTCCATCGCACGTGTAGGCTAACTGGTAACACAGGTATGTGTACTGTTTTTTAGGACTGGGTGACCGTGCAAAATACGAAATTTACACCAATTCCATAATTAGACTGCAGTTTTTTTTAAATTAAAGTCGTTATAAACACTGTTAAACATATTAAATCTAAAAGTCGAATATCTTTGGATATGGGGTAACCCATATCTATTCTTGTTTCCCCATCAATCACATCTACATGTTTATCATTATGTCATTCTATGCAAACAATTTGTATGTTTTCTTATGTTTAGAAAATGGCCTTTACATAGTATAATAAAAAAATACACTACTCGTACTTGTGTACAAATATGATTAAATGATGACTCTCCAACAACAAGACTGTAGTTTGACCAGGGACATATATACATTTACTACTTTATACGTCCCTTTTTTGACATTTTAGGCACTGTAGATCACCAAATTTTCGCGACACCTTATTTTCGCAAGATAGTCATTGACTCTTTATAAGCGAGACAAAATTTTCACGAATTGTGGTTATTACTCTATATAATCTTAAGGAATACTATTATATGCAAGAATTAAATTTTCGTGAGCACACTATCTTGCGTTACTACGTGAAAATAAAGTTCTTGCAAATAGAAAGTGATTTACAGTATTTTTACTAACATAGAGTATAGATTAAATTCAGATACTATAAAGATAGCCAGGTCAATAACTCATTGTCTTTAGACAGAACACCATAGACATCTTACAGAATTGAGGGAGAATTATAAAATCAGTCATCTAAATATGATTACAGTGGCTTACCTGTGCCAGTAAAGAACCCTCCATTGTATGGACAGAAACACAACACAGCAGAACGGCTGTCCTTCCATTCCTTCACAGGAACTCTGAAGAAAAATTTAAAAATAACTACATTAAAACCTTTTCTTAAGAATTCAGAAGCAGAACTTTAAGATTCAGAATGAAAGATTCATAAATTAAAGTACAAAAATAGACCTTATGATGGAATTTGATTTTGTTACAACATCTGTAAACCTAAACAAATGTACACTGTAATTCCAGAGTTTTAAAAAAACTGCAACTCCAATATGGAATATTCATCCTTATTTATAACTAGCTAGCCTAAGTAGATAAACCTGCTTATTTTCACCATAGCTGTCAGATTTATCTTCTTTTATTTCTGAGTGAGCAAAATGTGCATAGTATTGCAGAATTCCTCTACAATCATGTATTTTCTTTATGTAGAACTTTCTTTACGTTTATAACAACAGTCTTGTTTTACATTACAGACCTGATATTGCGTAGATCTAAGACTGTTATGTGTCCGTCCTGTGTTCCTATGATGGCTGTAATGTCTGACAGAAACTGACAACAGTTGACAGGGCCGTGGGCAGGAAACTCAAATACCTACAACATATAACAGGAAACTCAAATACCTACAACATAAAATAGGTAAACTCAGAAATCTACAACACACAGTATTGGTGAATAAATATCCGCTACAAAAAAATCACGAAAACCATTTATAGAATACACCATCATAAGAACCCATGATTTTCTTCTTCATTGCACAGAGAAAACCCTTGTGTTCTGCCAGACAGAATATATACATGTATGTGTATGTTTCCTTGGTATAACTCATTGGGTCATTCATTCCTGGCTTAATTGCGCGTATTGCCACATCCTCAGGGAAGGGTTTGTGATCAATCCTTCTCCTCTGACATTATCAGCTTAATTAAGTATACATACATGTACTATGGTAGAAATACATTTTTCCGTGTGGTATTAATTTTCGCTATGAAGGCAGTCGCAAATTTTCTATGGAAATTTGTCCAATTGAAGCTAATATACTTGTTAGGCATGTAGTGCGAGTCTAAGAAATCACATATTAAATTTCTACCTGCAGATTAAACAGAAATAGAGATTCCACGGAAGTTTGATCACGTGGAAAAAAATATGTCTATAGTACACGTATGTGAAAAACAACTACATGTACATTGTATATACCTTTTTCCGAGTCTGGAGTCCGTAACCTTGTACTGTAGAATTCTCACAACCCAGTAGGAGTAGCTTCCCTTGTGTGCCAACCTCTCTATCAGCTGAAAACAGTAGATGTTTAAAAAATAAATAAGTCCACTTAACTTTTTAATCCACTTAACTTTTACAATTTTTTTTCTTTTATAGTTTTTTGAGGCAATGATTTTAAAGGTAAAGGGACAAAGGCCCAAGGGTACAAATTATTACACTGTAGTATGATATAGTTAGTTTACTATACATGCTATTGCAACCTTGAAATTTTAATTATAAGCATACTGCATGTAAGTATATATACAATGTATGTAAGTAATAGTATTTTCTGAGACTTCCGAGTTCGGTTACTGAACTTACTGAAACTTGAAATTCATTTCACGGGTCAATGATTGTACTTATTTAAGACTCTTTACTAAATTAATACAAAATTGTTGGTCCTCTGTCTTTTAAAGTCTGTGAATTTACTCATCAATTGCTTAACTTAGTTTAATATAATGCCTACTAGATTGCTGGACCCCTCTCCAAGACTCATTGTGTATACTTAATTATAAAAGCTAAACTTTGTGAGTATGCTTTTTATTACGCTTTAACAAGACTTGGTGAGAATACTGATTTATAAAAGTTAATGTATACATGTTTAGAGTGCTCACTAGTTTGCTAGTCCTTGATACCCAATCTGATTAAAATCAGATCCTTTGATCCACTCACATAGATCGCTACACAACAAAGGATCTGATTTTAATCAGATTGCTTGATACCAGTAAGTACACTCATTTGTAAATGAGATAAGTCTCCTTACTTGTTGGCTGGTTCCCAGCCTCCAGACTGAGTGAGTTCTCTACGTCCTGGAGACAGCAGCAGTTGACCTCGCCTCCGTTCTCGTCGTATGACCCGAGACACGACTGTTGACCCACGTCCCACAGCTTGGCTGACCCGTCCTTACCACACGACACCACATTCCTCCCCCGGTCCACCATCACCGTGTCATTTATTGCTACAAGAAAGAAAGGTGAGGTGTGCCAATCATTATTCATAAATGTATGGACTACATTTTGCAATCTTTGAATACACAAACACATATTTCATATAATTATGTCCGCAGATTATCTGATTAATGACCTCATTTTGATATGAGTTACCTGCCCTGTGCCCTGTTAAGGTGGCAGCACACTTTCCAGTCTATGCTGACCAGATTTTTGCCTTACCTACCCTGTGTCTTGTTAAGGTGGCAGCACACTTTCCGGTCTATGCTGACCAGATTTTTGCCTTACCTGCCCTATGTCCTGTTAAGGTAGCAGCACACTTTCCGGTCTATGCTGACCAGATTTTTGCCTTACCTGCCCTGTGTCCTGTTAAGGTGGCAGCACACTTTCCGGTCTATGCTGACCAGATTTTTGCCTTACCTGCCCTGTGCCCTGTTAAGGTGGCAGCACACTTTCCAGTCTATGCTGACCAGATTTTTTCCTTACCTGCCCTGTGTCCTGTTAAGGTGGCAGCACACTTTCTGGTCTCCTCTGACCAGATTTTTGCCTTACCTGCCCTGTGTCCTGTTAAGGTGGCAGCACACTTTCCGGTCTATGCTGACCAGATTTTTGCCTTACCTGCCCTGTGTCCTGTTAAGGTGGCAGCACACTTTAACAAAGAAAAGCCATTCTCCTCTGACCAGATTTTTGCCTTACCTGCCCTGTGTCCTGTTAAGGTGGCAGCACACTTTCCAGTCTATGCTGATCAGATTTTTGCCTTACCTGCCCTGTGTCCTGTTAAGGTGGCAGCACACTTTCCAGTCTCTGCTGACCAGATTTTTAGCTGCATGTCTGCTCCTCCACTGAGGACCACGAGGCCCGAGGGGAAAAATCCACAGGTGTAAACATCACCGTAGTGACCAACAAAGTCCCTCTATAGACAACAAAGAAAAGCCATTACTGATGTAGACAAACAAATACAAAGAAGAGTGAATTTTGTTTTAAAATGTCTTTATAAAGATTATAAAATAATCATAGCAATGTTCCATTTTAAAATAGGGTAGGCAAGAGATATAAAAAATCATTACCATCAATTTAATGGGAAACAATATAGCACACCTGTAATACCATAAACACTTACTATCTTAAATAATGATCAAAATATAGAATAGGGCAATCAAGGATCTATCAAATAGCTAGTCTGCTAATCAGCAGCAAATCAATAAGTACCTAGAGAGAAAATTATTTTTTTTTAAATTGCAATTTTTGGGTGAACATGATGAACATGCTGTATTACAGCAAAACTGGGGTATAACGAAGTCACCGGGACCTTTGAAATTACTTCGCTATATTCGTAATTCATTTTATCTGCATAAAAATACATTAGATTTATATAGCTGGGGATCCAAGATGACTTCGCTATATCCGTAAATTCGCAATATCCATGTTCGTACTAAACGAGTTTTGCTGTACATAAAGCTAAAAAAAAAAACAACAAAAATTAAAGGGTAAATATACGTAAAACAAGAGTAACCTACCCTGACTTCTCCTGTGTCAGTCTGCCATAGTCGTAACTTTCCTTCTGAGTCAGCTGATACACCAAGTCCTCCCTCTGTAACGTCAAGACTGACCACCTTAAATATACAAATATCACAACTTACCACCTTAAATGTAAAAATATCTGGACTGACCACCTTAAATATACAAATATCAGGACTGACCATCTAAGTACTAAATATCTGGACTGGCCACTTCAGTAGCAAATATCAGAACTGTCAATCTTAAATACACAAATATCAGGACTGTCCACCTTAAAAACATAATAATGAGGACTGATGAAAATCATATTCGAGAACTGCTTGGTTGAACTACTTACACTTTTTCTTTCATTATGGATGGCTTTAAATGAAACGTTTGGTGCCACGAATTTCCTGGTCAGATTAATGGAATCATCTGTGTAGGATACAGAGATTGATCTCTGAAAATACAAACAAATCATGGAGTATCGTTGTCAGCTGAATCTCCTTTCTTATGACGAAAGAAAAGGGCAGCTTATACATGCATGTACTGATAGTCCAGAAACCTTGAAATCCATGCACTTACAAGCTGAAAATTTTCCTTTATGGAGGCAGTCAGACAGATGATATTACACAAAATCAGAGTTTCAGATTGTTACTTGTGAAAAATGTAATCAACAAAAAAAAAAGATGTGTTATTTGGCAAATATTTTTACTAAATATTTTACTGATCAATAAGTTGTTTTTTGTAATCAATAAAAAAGAGTCCTAAATGAACTGTAGTTCAGTGTTTGTTCTTGTTTAAAATTTTAAGTAACCATGGTAAAACTGTGTATTCACTGACCTTAGTAACTTCCTGTACAGAGAATCCGTCACTTCCTGTCACGTACGGAACGCCGTCGCTGGACAAACCCTGATTGTACAGACTTCCATGGACCGATGGCTGAGCTGTAGAAAGTAATGAGTAAATCAGAAGAAAGAAATTCAAAATCTCTCACTTAATGGAAAATTATGTTTTGATAAATAGCCCTTATAAAAAGCAAAATTTGATCTTAATGCATTCTATTTCAATTTAAAATTAAGTAAACTTTTCTGTGATTTAACGAAAATTATAAAGACACACAGGCACATGAAATTTTATTAATTAGTCGCTAAAACAGCCAAATATAAAAAAATTCTATCCCCTCTATATTATTAGTTACATAGTCGAAATTTTCAAAGTGAAAGGGTATGGGATGTTTCAAAAATATATGGTTAGTAAATTTCATACCTGAAATAATTTTGTTGGCCTTTAAATGCTTCAAATCGAGGTATGTAAAAAATTTACTAACTTTTAGGTATCATACCATACCTGTCACTAATAAGAGCATACTAATAAATCCTAAAAATTTAAGAAAAGTACCCCACCGATGAAACATTTACGTTTTATCCGTGGTTTATAAATGGTTTTCTCTGCTAAATGCTTCATCACGCTTATACTGTGACTGTATACTATGACGTCACGTTTGTGTTTGTGACGTAATACATTGACCGGGTATAGATCTACAACTGACCGGGTATGGATTTGAAAATTCCATTAATTATTAAATACCGGGTATAAGTAATCCACCGCCTTCACGTGACAGACTTCAACCAATCGTAAGCCAGGATTTCATGGAAAAATCGAAATAGGTGGGGAAAATAAATATACAAAGTGTGCAACGCCACTTTGAATTCAGTTTGGAGATTCAATTTTTGTGGTGTCATGCAGCTGATGGCCATCGGGTCTTTGAACGAAATTCAAAGTTTGCATGAATTTTTGTTGATAGCATTACCAACATGTTGGATTCAAACTTTAGGAAGAAATTTATAGTGAGAAATATCATATTTGAACCCAATGCTATGTGCAAAATTGTAGTTATATGCAATTTATGCGTTCAATTGAAGCCTGAAATGAGCTGGGGGTCAAAATGGCGTTGCACATCTTGTGTATTATACAGAGGAGGTAGAATTTTTCAATATTTGGGTATTTTAGTGACTGATTGATAAAAATTCAGGTGCCTGTGTATTTGTGTAGAGGGTGTAGAATTTTTCGATATTTGCCTGATTTAGTGACCGATTGATAAAAATTCAGGTGACTGTGAAAGACCAAGTAATGGTACCTCCGGGCTTGTATGATATCCAGACCTTTTCTTCATTTTCTCTGAAAAAGAAATTTTCAAAATAAAATCAGACTGAAACAGACTAGGATTTATGCAAAAGAATATTATATTAGACTTATTCTGAATCGTAAACTAAATATTCCTGTAGCCAATGTAGGTGTAAATACTTTAAAACTTCGTCCCAGTCAGACTGCAAAATTAGCCTTTCCATGTTTATGTGGTGATACTTTTCGGTACGACGAACCCGATCAAAATGGGGTATCTTAAATTAAAATATTGATGTTCAACACGGTACGCTAAGCGGAATGAACGAGTATCTTCAATACATGTAACATTTAAAAAAAAATATTAATTTCTAGTATTGTAGTAGAAAAAGACAGAATAATATTAAAACATATTAATTTTGCATTCATTGTACTTTCTCAATGCAATATTTTTGTTCTCAAATACCTAATATTGTTATTTTAATCAGTATGAATTGTACAATCCATTTTTAAAAATAAGTTTTCACATATTCAAAGTTAGAAATAAATAGATATTATTTAAGAAAAATAAATAAATATTATTTCATAACAAAAAATAGTGCTCCCTCTTGACAACCCCACCCCCTCTTTTCTATATAGCCTATAGGTCAGCACATCCTCTTCTTTTTCCTATAGCGGTTGGGCATATACTCTGAATTAGCTTGTTTTCATTTTCTTTAAATTTAATTTCATCAAATTAAATTTTCTTTAAAATATCAAATGGAATAATCTGTACAATAGTAATATTATGCATTTTGGAGGGGTGTCATTTTGGAGGGGTGTGCATGGCGGTTAAGTATTCATCGAAAATACTTTGATTTTTTTTTGGGGGGGGGGGGGGGGTTGTTATTAAACGCAGTACAGTTAAGGCAACATTTTCTATAAAAAGTCACGGAATCCGACACATATAATGTTTAACAGTTTTATTTTTTAGCAAGACACTCTAGTTAAAACAGCTTTTTGTGATCTTGAAGAGTATGTCCTTCGCTTTTCACATCGGTATTTTTTGACATCATGTGACCCCCTGAAGTCACGTGGGCTCCGATTTTAGGTCAAAAAATGAAATGTCAAATTTAACCAAAAAGTGCAAGGGCAAGACAAACAAAAAATTAACTGCACAATGTTTTATGTTGTCTCTATGTTTCTATACTTTCTCAAAAGTGATGCTCATTCAGTTAGTTTTCCGATATAATAAAGTTATTCAGCTAAAACAGACAGTAATGTATGAAAAATAGGACATTTTCTTAATTTCATCAGGAATTATAAATTAACTAAAGGATTACAAAGTATTGAGCATCACTTTTTGAAAACTATACTATAAAATAAATAATTTAAAATAAAAACCTACTTTTTAGATTGTCGCCTTGCCCTTGCACTTTTTGATTAAAAAATGAAATCTTGGAAGAGTCAATCTAATTATAGTTTTCAAACGCATCACTGACCCAGCATGGGAGATAACTCTGGAGTACTTGATATAGTTTGTTCACCTCGTAAATTTAAAATAAATACACATGCGGGCAGGACTTGATTCTTTTTTTTTTTTACTAAATCAGAAGGTATGCATAAAGATCCTTGACATTTCTTTCTTTTCTGTGTATTCGTTCTCCATACGTTGTATACATTTAATGTCTTTCAAACTTCCCGCATTTCCTCAACGATGTATATATATACACGTAGTATTACACACAAATAGGTATAAATATTGCCGATATATTTATGTAGAACACAAATGGTTAATTAAAATATAGCCCTCATTAATAATTAATTAGATATCTATTCCCCTCTCTCACGGTTTATTCAAGCTATTCCCACTTTTTGAAAATCAGGTAGAAAAAGGTAAAATTTCACGTGGGAGTAGGTGGAATTTTTGTGTAAACAAATTATTAGCTGAATAAACATGTCATTACTGTGAAAATACAGTAATTATTAAACCACTGTGGGAGTAGAGGACGGGTAAATTTGCTATTTTTAATTAAAAAATCTGACTTTTTACTTCTATTTCAATGGGAATTTAGACTTTTGAAATAAAAATAGCAGATAAATTATTCATTTATTTAAAGTGAATTTAAGTATATTTTTTAGTATATTTTTCTGTTAAACTTTTTATTTATTTTTAACTCCAGTTATTTATATGCATTTCTTTCATATATTTATTTTATTTTTTAAATATTATAAATATTTTTTGGGATAAATATATTTATTTTCTGTCTTAAAATGTACAAAATACTGGTAAAATACAGGTAAATCTAAGATGGGATGTAATTAGTCTAATTACTGTAAAAACCAATTAACTAATCAAAACATCTATTGTTATTTGCAAGTGGGAATAGATGGAATTGAGATTTTTAAAAAGTGGGAATAGCTGGAAGACACCTCTCTCACTACTGTACGCATAGGCCTCGGAACTGGGGAAGGGGGGGGGGGGGCTTAGCCTCCCTACTTATTTGTAAATTATATACATAATGTAGGCATTGGAATTTGCCTTTTTCTTTTGGCTTAGCCCCCCACACCCCCTTTCAATCAACCCCCTTTCATTTTGCTTCCGACGCCTATGGTTCACACTTGTGTTAATATTTTTTTCTTTCTGCATACGAGATCATGTTCTACGATCGCTTTCAATCAGACCGCTTACTGTTAATTAAGGGATATAAACTAAGTTATAAGTTTAAGGTACTAATTAGAAAGAATTGAGGTATACTTCTGTATTTGTTAAGGGGACAACTATTTTATTTTGAGGGTGAGGGACTGGCAGATACTTGCAGATCAGTGATGTCCCCCTCCCACGAATCAGTTTTTTACATTTTTATTTTGCATGTAGTATTTTTAATGAAGAGGAAAATAAATAAATAATCTGTCCTTCATCTTATTGATCAGAAATAGATATTAATCTGTCCTTCATTGACATGAAAATGAAAAAAAAATCTGAATTGGAAAAACTCGACTGCCCCCCCCCCCCTTCCCTCAGAACAAATGGTGGTCCCCTATCATATTTTGAGTCAGTTAGGGGGGTCTCTTGTCTCCTGTTTTTGGTAATATTATTGAAAGATAAATGAACACAATGCACATGCTTGAAACAAGATCTTGATGATCATTAGTACCCTCCACACAAAATAGAAAGTTAAGATTTTCATATCTTAATGGTCTTTTCAATACCTGTACAGTAAATATATGAAAAAGTCAAATTATTATTCATCTAGAAAATTTATTTAATAAAAAATTTCTTTTCAAATCCAATGACAGACTGTAGGAATGCTGGGCAGAAGCAAATTATTTCCATCACCTCATGTTCTTGTGGATAAAATCAATTCTGAAAATATGAGAAAATCAGGAAATACCATTATTGAAAGTAATTTGTGTTTAAAAAATGAAATAAAAAAATGCACGGAAACATTTAACATAGAATTTACATACATGTGTAACGTGAAGCGGTCACCCATACAAAGGTTAAACAGGCTCGCCGTTGCTTAACTTGCCTGAAATAGAGGGAGACTCTACCCGCATCACCAGAAAAGCTAGCTCACTGGCGAGGCAGTATAAGTTCCCTCTATACTGTCCGCTACACATGTTTTCAATTCTTCTGTTAGTTTTATTATCAAAACTTTGTTTGGTTTATAGCTTATTGAGCATACCATTTTCCTTAAATGATTGATTAACTTGCTGCCTGAATGAATCCATTTGTCCAACATCTGGGAATAGCTAGGCCTAAAACACAATATATATGCAGTTATATGCTATGAGATTACTAAATATACAATGTAGGATAAAATGGCATTACATTTGACAAAACCTCATTATGACTTCATTACCATATTTTTTTCATGTGTTGCCTTAACTGTACTGCGAATAATATTTTTCCAGATTAGAGGACGTTGAACAAAGACAATTAGGAAACCTTTTTTTTATACACTCTACCTGATGTAGCTGCCTGATAAGGCCATTCGAACATCCTCTGTATACATGTATATATTGACTATGTGCGTCCTCAGTACAGTATTGATTTGTTAGTTTATCAAATTTATTCAATCTCAGTCCCTAATGTTTATGTAGGTTAAAATTACGAATTTAATTGAAAATCTCTTTCACCTCTCGTATCCGAAATTAAACTTCTAAGCCACTAAGGACTTTATTATGGGAGTACACGGCAATAGATGAAGTGGCCATGGGATTAAGTATGAAATTAAATACCCTGTCCTGAACAAATATGTATAAATTAAACTCTCGAGCATTGTTTATTAAATAATGAAGACCAAACAGTAAATAACAACGAACCATTTTTTTCTCTCAATGAACAAAGTACTTTATCGGAAAACGAATTTGGGAAAGGTATAAAGAAAAAAAAAATCGAAGTCTCTCGTTTGTTTAAGCATATCACGAACAAATAAATCTATCTCCGTGTTTAAATAAATCTATCTCCAGTGTTAAAAAACTGCTATAGTTCTACAGAAAGTGAAAGGTACACGGTTTTTATTATCACACGCTGGACTGCACAGATACGGAGTTATGTGGAAAATGTCTCGTGAGATTTAAAATTCTTTTTATGATTTTGAAGGAAAAAGAATGTTTTTATAGCCAGTGATATCTATGAGAACATCCTTTTAATTATGACAGAAATTTTCTTGAATCGTTAATTCACCTCCATGTTTAATTTTGATTTCTGTGTTACAGGTTGAAGACGTACAAGAACATGTATCCATAATATGGCGGGCCAGTGCTGGTGAAGATAAATATACTACTTATATATCTTAAAGACTTGATGTTTGGTTGTGTAAATTTGACCTTCCGCTGACTTGAATAATGAATTATTAAACTTTAAACCGTGAACCTTAGAAAAAATGGAGAACTTCTAAATCTCAGACTGGGATGGAAAAAGGCCATGGTTTCTTGTGCCAGGGTATACATGTAATAGACGCCAGTTAACCTTCCTTTGCTCCAACAAATTAATTAATCCGTTATAAGTTGTGGGATTAATTAAATACAGTGTCGACCTTTCTATTTCTAGTCGTGCCTATAGTGTATACGAGGTCTCCAATGTAACGAAATGGCTTCTTCACCCCCACTTGAACGTCAGTCGCCCGCTGCAGTCGCAGGAAGGAGGGCATATATCCCGTCCTGGCTGTTCAGATTGCCTCCCACGCGGGAACAGCGAATGATGGATAAGGTCATCCCCACCCCCCAGGAAAGGAAGACATTGCGGGAACAGGC